GGATAGGATCAGAAAATGTGGGAAAACTTGACATGGATTCTTATAAATAATTTACAGTAGATTTCGGTTGATTGGGGCAGTTGTTTATTTCAGACAAATCTTAAAGAATGACCCTTTTTAACTCTTTACATGGAACTTCACATAATTGGGGCAACAACATAATTGGGCCAAAGTGTCAGTCCCAATGTGTCCCAATTAACCGGAATCCACTGTATTCTAATAGTTACAAAAACATACTAGCAAAAACACACTGATAACTTACACAATAAAGAACTAAAGTACGGGCATAAAGGTTATGCATCAGTTCAACATGTTACATATTACAAGAGTTCACTTAACCTTAGCATTTTTTAGCTAATATACCAGTTTCACAAACCTGTCATATCCGTGACAGCCAGCACGTAACTGGCAGGTCCCCAGGAACCAGACAGAGCAACAACACTGACTGAGTACTGTGCATGTGACAACAGACCACGCAGAACAGTGGAAGTATTTTTCACTTCTACCTGACCAGCAGAGTGGCTGCAGTTCTCACTGTGGCAGGCAAGGAGTTTCTTGCACTGAACAAATTTAAAAACAAAATTTTATTATTACACACACCTTCTCTCATTAATGCACATCTACCATCATGAACACTCATTTCTACCATCTTACATGTGTCATTGCAGTTTTCCTGTTATCTGTAACCATCTGCAACAACTAGGGAAACTGCAGTACCAACTGTATACTTTCTATCTTCTAAGTCAAAGTAATTCAACTAACTAGATAGCTTACAGAACCTGAAGGTTCATCACCGAATTAACCAAAGCCCTCCACCGGACCCTGTCCTGGGCCAACAAAATCCAGTCGCCTTTAACTTCTATCTCCCATAGATCACGCCTGATATTATCCTCCCATCTATGTCCAGGTCTCCGCAGTGATCTCTTCCCCTCAGGCTTCCCTACCAATACCCGGTGAACACATCTTGCCCCATCCATGCATGCCCCATGCCCTGCCCATCTCAATCTTCTTGATTTAATCACCATGATAACACTGGGGGAGGATTACAAATTTTTAAGCCTATCTTCATGCAGTTTTCTCCATACCCTCTTCTCTCCCATGCCAAAGTAATTCAACATATAAAAAAATTAGCTGATTGACTCATAGGCTCTGATGAGATGATGATTATGAATGATTAGGTCAGAGGCAGATTAAGGCCTAAGGCAGTAGCTTCGGATTAAGATGAAGAGAATGAACAAAATTACAGAAAACCTCAGACAGTAAAGCTGATAAACCAGCTGAATTCATAAACAGAAATCCAGTATGTTACTGCTGGTTATTGCTAGAGTAAGGAAAACATATTTTTAGCCTTTATTCCTTGAATACAGCTACATACCACATATATGTTGCTTAATATTATTGGCCACTAGTCATTATACAAGATTAGTGACAATCTTCAACTTAGGAAAGTACATAATAATTCACAATTATCTGTCCATTTGTTCATGTCACTCAAGAGGGTAGAGTTATGCCTGAAAAGAATCTCTCATAGAACGAACTATGGATTAGTCTGGAGAAGCACAGTGGGTCTGAATCCCTAAGAAAACATTTGTTGGACATTCTTCTACATTTCACACCTCCTAAATGTTAGATGGTTATTAGGTACAATAAAATAAATAAATTCGTGGCGTAACATCTTCAGAGAGCCAAAGCCGACTAGCTTGACTAGCTTGACTGCTGGCCTCACATTCACATGCCTAAGCAGAGGTGAACGATCATCCAACCAGATACAGGGTGACGTGTGGTCAGCACGACAAACCCCCAGCCATTGCTAGTTTTCCTGACCGGATTACGCTACTTATTGTAGCTCCCCAATTTCCTCACGATGCTGGGTTGGCACCGGTCCCATACACTGGTCGAAAGCTCATGAAAAAATTTCTTTTCCCCAGAGATCCGAACCAGCGCGCATTCCGTATCGCAGGTCCGAAGCATGATGCCTCAGACTGCGCGGCTACGGCGCGGGACTATTAGGTACAATACTGTGGCATAAATATAACTTTTATTTCCCACGTCTTCATAAAGACCCAGTTTAGCACCATACAACACTTCTCCAGTGAAACCTGCACCTAGGAACTTTTTTTTATCCTTCCTCCACCAAAACAAACTGGCCTACAAAATATTATATTTCCTTATGCCATTAGTCTATGAAGTATAATTTAAAATTCACATCATATGCAGTTCATGAAAGTGAAGTAATATGTATGATGAGAGTCTCACATCATCATGTGTTGCATTAAACTTTACTTTAAGAGGCACAATTAGTGTAAACACTTACAAAAACTGCAACTCTACAACAATCATATGCATCCCACTGTTATTTACTTAAGCAGAGATTATAATGTTTCCAACACAACATATTAAATATTCAAAAGTATTTTAAATATGTAACATGTTGCAAACTCAATTGCTTTCAACAGTTGGAATGAAATGTTACTAGCAAGTGCTCAAATAACCCAGTGACGTGGAACCATTCATCACTGAAAATGACTCTCTTCTGAAATTGTTTCGATGTATTCTGATAAACACTGACAGACGTTTCAGAGCCTACTGCCTCCATCATCAGGGCTCCTCTGAAATGTCAATCAGTATCCATCAGACTACATAGCACAATATCACAGAAGACAGACATCTTCATACTCACTGCCATGGGAACCTGAAATCTAACCATTCAATACTGGTATGCAATTACACACACACATTGTTTTGGATATTGTTGTACTTAAAATTAAGAATCCATTGCCAGGAGGAAATGTAATTACTTCGCTTGTAAATATAAAATTCAGAACCAATAATAGTTTTGAGATTTCATTTTAGGGAAGCATGAAATTTCTTTGTTATAATAAGAGTTAAGGAGCAAGAAAATTAACTTATCTACTAGCATAAAGATGTGATGAACTTAAAGTGCATTGCATAGGGCTTATATAAACCAGTATTCTGATAGTGCATTACTGTTTTCTCCAGAAAAGTGCATTTCATTGGTTTGTGAATGAATCTGTGTATGTAAATTAAAGGAAATAAAAGAAATTAATTTTACTCTGTTGTATCTTACAGTGTATCTTGCTGCTCACAACTTTTTATAGCTTTAAAAGAAGGAAGTCTTACATCAGAAAAAATTCCTGCATATGAAAGTGTCCAAGTAAGTTCCTGGTCTTAAATGTAGGGATAATGTATGAGTGAAACATAATTGTGCCATGCACAAATGTAACCAAGTGGTTACGGCTAATGAACTTATGATCTCCAGAACTTGCCTGGTTGACCATGCGCAGTTGTGTTTCCCCCACAAATTTACCTTTTCCGTTCACTCCTTGAGACTATGTTACCTAACTCAAAGCCCACTTCTATACGGGAGTTCAGCCAGATCATCTATAACAAATTCCGTCTTGGTCTTTTCTTCAAAATTCTACTTTGGAAAAAGGTTGAGCCCTTGTGCGGATGGTCAGCCGGTGGAGACGTCCGCTGTGGTAAGTCTTGTGATTTACTTTGTTTTGGTTATCCAGCGGACGCTCCCACCAGGGTATATTTGTTAATTTCGTTTATTGTTCTGTTGTATTTGTGCTTATCATAAATATATATATACTTATGTTTATTTTGTGTTCAATGTGGTTTATTTTAGTTGAACTAACACGCCGGTTCTAGTTAAATATCGTAAATAGGCACATAATGAACTGGTGATGTGGTAATTCTGCTTCAGCAGATATGAAAGGAACAACTTTGACAACATCTAAAATCATTAGTACTGATCCATATTTATGTGGTACACTCTCTTTTCACAAATGAGGCTCTAGTGACCAGGTCATGGTACTGAAAATCATCAAGACTTGAAGAAGTACCACTACCCAATTCAAGGAATCAAGTCAAGGCAATATAACCATTACATATAGTCTGGAGGACATGCCATTATCAAAAGTTGTATTACATTAGTTGAGTTTGGAGAATATAATTTGGTTTGATTAATATGGTCAAAGTCCCAATAAACCAATACACCCATTCACCAAGTGACATATATAGAAGAGAAAAGAGAATAAAATTTTATTCTTACACTTTTCTACTACAAATTAAGGACTAACCTGATAAGAGACTGTGTACCGGTGAATTGTTCCAGCTGTGATCAGTGGAGGTTTCCACTTTATCTCTAATTCTTGACTTGTGGAGGAGACCAAATGTATGTCATGCACCTTTCCAGGAACTATAAAAGAACATTTGTATATTAACCATATCCGACTATAAGCATGCAATTGAGCATTCATGGCTCCTCCATGAGTGAAAACTTAACTGAATAAAGTACTACTGGACAAAGACAAAAAATGAGAGCTTACAAATGAAAACATACATCATAGAAGACACATGGTAGATACCACATACCAGTGGCTGTGTAAGTTTACCTGTCATCATGACAACTTTTACTGCATACTATGGGATAAATAGTGAAATAGCAAAAAAAATTTACCGCACAACCACCTTCAAAGTAGTTCACTTCTGATGTCATACATTTCTGCCTGCAACCATATCACAACAGGAGACACTACTGTAAGCCTTTCCTGTGACCTCATATTTCACTAGTTTTTAACCTTGGGAACAGGCAGTAGCATAACCAGCAGTAACCCGACCTGGTGAATGGGAAGGCTGTAAAGGCACAGTGATACCATACTTTGACAGTTTATTCCTTCGTACACTGGGTAAAGCATGCCATTTTATGGTCTGATTCATGTTCTGTTTAATCAAAATGTACTCCTGGTGAATGATGCACTGGCTATTGAAGAAATCTTTCTAAATCACCTTCTGATCTGAATGGTCTGTATGAAATTTCGGCTTCCTGTCTTGATAAGAGGAATAATATTTGCCATTTTGATTGTGGGCAGAAATTCAGACAGCACAACATTCAATCACCCACAACCTTGAATAAAAATTTACTTGGATATTATCCATCGTCTAGTAAATATAAAACGTAAAACGACGTTTCGGAGATGGGACTCTATCTCCGTCTTCAGGTTCCTACACAGTTGGGCCCACTAGATAGAGCTAATCCCTATCTCCGGACAAAGTAAAAAAGTGAAAGTCCCGGAATAAAAAGGCATTACCACACCATCCATCCGTGGGACGTAAAAGAATAGTATGTAGAACTAGAAATAGTATGTAGCCCTGAAAATGGATGGCGCTAAAGCTCCGTGCCTATACCCGGCCGCCGGAAGGCAAAGGCGTGTAAGCTGAAGCCTCGGCGAGTAGGAGGGCGCGGCGGTGTGCGCGGAAGGGTCAGGGCACGAGCCCGCCTGGAGCCGCCGCCGGTGCAGATCTTGGAGAGTACCATCTCCGAAACGTCGTTTTACGTTTTATATTTACTAGATGATGGATAATATCCAAGTAAATTTTTATTCAATTGACTCTTCACCATCGTCAAGAAGTTTTAGATTTGATACCCACAATCTTGTTCAGAATTCTTGGATCACTTTTCCTTCTAATGAAAGATCATTCTTGTGTGGATCTTGATATTCCACAGAACAAGATTCCAAGACACACAACACATGCTGAATAGCAGGTACGTAACATGTATTACTTAAATCATTCGTATATTGAATGACCACTTGGTCTCGTTATTTGTGAGCTGTGTTGGCATTCCCTTTTCAAGATCATACTCTAATGACTGACAGCTTTCCTTTAAATACCTTTGTATAGTACAGCCAAACCCATGGCCCTTTACCCACAGGTTTCACTGATCATGAATGTGGGGCTCTCTTGTAGTCATAATTAACATTCACTCTCACTTCAAATTGTGACATTCTGCTGTGCCAAGCTATTAAAATAACAACATTCAAACTATGGTGTCATTTGTGCAGTCAGTAAACTTGCACACACAAGAACAGTTCTCTGTCCATAACAAAAACATGAAAACTCATATACATATTAAGTCATTCAGTGGCATACAGAGGATGAAGATGACAGCTAGGTTACTGGGTATTTTAATTTCAATAACCAAGCTACTGAAATCAAATTTTATATTCTTTCAAATTAAACAAGGTAAAATCGTTTATAACACAAAGGTGGTTATAAAAAAAGTAAGAAATTAGAGCAGAAAGAAGCACAAGTTTTTTGGTGTCATTTTTGACAGCAATTTAACATGGAAATTCCAAACCGATAAAATTTGCAGCAATAATCAGTTCAAGTCTGTTGATAATTATGGGATTATCAAATGTGGATGATTTGGAGGTGCTCGTTGCAGTCTATTACCGTTTAATATACCCAGTATCCTTTATATGGTATTACTGTATATGGAAATGGTACAAAGAAATGTACAAAAAGTTTTTACACACAAAAAAAGGTACTCAGTTGTATTGCAGAGCCGAAGTATAGCAACCCAAGTCGAGAAGGTTTTAATAATTTAAATATTGAAACTCAGTTTTCATTACATGTTTATGAAAAAATGTTCAAGAAATGTAAGGATAGTTGTATGATTAATGACAAGTTGCATGCCCATAATATTCAGTCTTCTCTTGATTATCACCAGTACATTCATAATTTACAAATCTATAATAGAAGATGGACTATTACAGGATATAAACTTTATAATAAACCAACAGCATATATTGAATAGATCAGTAATAATTAAAGAGAAGCTTAAGCCATTTCTCATCGATAGATGCCGTTACTCAATTTAGGACTTTATCAGCGATAATTTTTCTCATACTGGTTCAATTTGTATGACACATTTGACAGCATGATTTGAATGTATTGTTAAACTAGTGATATGAATTAGCCTCAACCTGCTCTTACACTTATATTTGGTGTAATTTTGTTTATTATGCTTTCTTCTCATTCCTGGAAATATGAGCTTACATGACTGGACATGCCCTATCTCATTCTAAAGTGACTAAAGGATGAAGAGCAATAATAATAATAATAATAATAATAATAGCCTTCTGGGATATTGCACCATGTAGTCTTACAGAAGCTGACTGATGTTTCAATGATGCCTCGATCATCAGGGTGATGAGTAAGTTGCACCTGTAAAAGCAAGTGGTAGGAAAGGAGCAGGCCAGAGCAAATGGATGAAGAAAGGAAGACAAAGAGAGTAACAGAGCCAATATGACAGTTGGGTGACCACAACCTAACTGGGAGAAGGGGGAAGAGATATAAACACTAAAGTAGGCAGGAAAATATATGTAGAACAAGGGAGGAAATGAAAAACAAGGAAAGAAGTAAAATAAAGATCAACAATAAAGTCTTACTGATATCCCTATTTCCCAAGTTTTCAATTGTAATTAACCATGTTTTATTATTTTTCCCCTTCTTTCTTTCTATTTCACTTTCTTACCTGTTCTTCCTATGCACATTCCACATACTGTATCTTCCTATACATCTATGTTTGTATTCCCCTATAGCAAGGCTGTGCTGCTGCCCCCACCCCTCACTATTCCTCTGAATCGTTTGCTCTGTCTGTCCTCACCTCGACCCAACCCACCGCCATGGCCTACACATCACCCTGAAGATGGAGGCAGTAAGCAATCAAGTGTGCTTAATGTCTGATCATTCAGAGAAGCAAAAGTTAGGGAGAGACTATAAGTAGAACATCTAATAATTTAAATTTTTTAGTATAAGAACACTCCTCTGAAATGTGTGGAGACAAAATACTATAGGAGTATTCAACTCCTCCAGTATTTTGCCCTCACAATAGAGTGATTACTTGCTAACACATATTTTCACTAACAGTAAAAGGGTCAACAAACAGGTTTGGGATACAGCTGCAGAATCTGAGTCCATTTAAAAATAATCTTACAAAATTTAACGTATACAATTAGCATGTTCCTATTATCCAAGTTTAACCTTATAAAAAAATCTGAAGTACTTATGAAAATTGTAACTTATATCCCATGCCACAGGCCTTACTGGACTGACCAGCAGAGTTGGCAAGCTGCTAGAATGAATAATGCAAATCGTTGGTTCATGTTTGTAAGCCTCCTGGAGTTATTACCATGTGACGCAGCAATAACATAGACCTCACAAATATCAGTTGGGTGCTAATTTCTCAAGTTAAATATCATCATACAAATGAGTAACATGTATACTGAACTTACCGCCAACCTTTGTAGTTGTGAGGAGGACAGATGAAAATGGGTACTTTTCCCCCACATTGGTTAATGCCTGCACTCGGATCTGATATTGCTGGCCTGGCAACATGTTGGAGAAGGTAGTTGTCATTTCTGAACCTTGATAATGCTTCAACCAACGCAAACTCTCTTTGCGTTCCACCTCAAACTGTCTTGCAGCACACCATATGGGGCTCTCTGGTACAATCTGGAAAAGTAAACATTCCTAATAAATATGAATACATAATACAGATATAGCATAAATGATTTGCAATTGTTATCTGAAGTTTTTTACATTTAAAATCACAATATAACAGGTAACCTTAGCATAACCAACATTTAATTCAGGACTGCTTGTTAACCCTCCCTGCATGTTGCGGTTAATAAGACAAACCTGTGTTGAAAATCATGGTTTCAATTGCTCACATCACCCAACACATCACTACAACTATATGTACATAGCACACTGGAAACTTACGTTTGTGTAGTTGATACCACTGTCATGACCACTATCCCATCAGTTATTTACTAGACCATGTGGCCTGCTAGTCTCATACCACCTATTCTGGTAATACTATATATGGTAACTACTTCCAACCCATGAAATCAAGAATAAAAAAATATTTAAAGGCACACAGAATTCATTCCAGTAGGAAAGATGGCTGCTTGTAAAAGGCATGTGGCACAATGTCTTCATTTATATAATATCCACAACGAAATATGGCAAGAAATATTCTTTGATGCAAATAAAACAATTGGTAAAGATATTATACTCTTTTCTATCTGCTTTAGACTTTCTAGCATCCAGAACTGCAATGACTGGGTGCAAACTGCATTCCTCAGAAGTTATTATATTCACTTTAGCATGGCCTAACTAAAGTACTCAGCACAGAACAGGTATGGTTGTTGGTTCACCATATAAAGAGATAATTTAGACACTCTCATTCATTCTGAAAGCTGAGTCACACAAGGCAATACTTATACACCACCACCAATCACCACTCAGTACAATCAAGAGTACAACACGAAGAGAAACAATTCAAATTGTTTCCTTCCTTGGGGTGGTACTGGATAGAAGGAACATGTATATAAAAAAACCTACACACTAAACAATGCTCTGTCAGAATGATGACTTGCTACAGGCTGGATGACCGGGGTTCTATCCCCGACGGTGACAGAGGATTCTTCCTCTAACCTCTGCATTCAGACTGGCTCTGAGGTCCACCCAGCCTTGTCTCCAGTGGGTACCAGGATCATTTACAGGGGGGTAAAGCGAGGCCAGGGAGTGAAGCTAACCACTCACCCCCATCTAGTGCCGAGGTTAAGAATGAGTATTAGCTATACCTCCTCTCCTCCGAAGCACCTACATGGCATAGAGTGGGACAGATTTCACTTTATTCTAATCACTTACAAAGTATAAAGAAAGGAATAGTCAGATGAATAAACAATACAGCAAGAACTACATGCACAAATAAAGACAAACTGACAAAGGAACAAACAAATATACGAGCCACATTCAGGAGAAAGAGAAAAAAAATTATCAAAGAAATAAAGTCCTTATCAACAGCTATGAACAGAATCCCAACAATCATGCAACCATGAGAGGTACCATGATGGTACTATACATTCCAGGGACTATAGAAAAGAATTCATAGAATTGGGAAAAAAATCAGAGTACAAACAGCATTCAGGTCATGAACACTATAAGGCATAACTACAAGGGTAAGAGGAAGTTATGAAATTTACACATAGCATAACAATTCTGGCATTTCTGCTCTGCTATTGCCTCTGCACTTTTAATTATTAAATGCTAATGGTGTCTTATAAATACCATAAAACAGGTGTGGTGTATTAACAAGGTCTTCCAACACAAATTCAGATGAATATGAGTCCAATGGTTTGTGTATCTGCGTGCGTGTGCACATTCCAATTCTGTGAGGTGAGTTTATTATGCCATATTTTTTATAAGAATGAACTGCTACATAACAGTACTTGTAATTACCAGAATACTAGTGATCTATTTTTAAAAATTAACCTTATCTATACAGGAAAGTATATCATTCCTACTGCCTTTCTGTTGTGAATGCTATCAGGTTGGAAAACTGCAGCACCAAATACTATGCAGGTAACTGGTAAATCAAAGGCATGGTGTCAACAAGCAAGTGCAATATATGACAATCCCTGAGTTGGGTCGATCCTTGTCCATTTCAAAGTTTAAATGTTGCTAGAACTCAGCTGGTCATCACTCACGTGACAGACATATTTGAATTACAATATGGTCAGTTTGTCATTATACTCTGTCCCCTTGCCAGCAAGTACTAACCATTCAAATAATATATCATATAAACAATTGTTCAAATTAGCTAATTGTCTCCATTTACTAGTATTACATATTCAGAATCCCAAATTTTTAATGTTATATATTTATACCTCATAATGGGTATAATACTATCATAATTCATTACAGCACTATGAATGGAACAGTAGTTGAATGTGAATGTCAGAGAGTCGCAACAGTTACTTCACATAATTCTATCGGAAGGGGAATTTCTGCTGTTTGCTAGGCTCAATTTGCAGTGTTTCTTGACATCATCAGAACTCTACTGAGCCATGATCTGCAGACCTGTATTTCTCCTGTATTATTCAATAAACCTCAAGTATTTTACATCTTGTCTCCTCAATTAGGCTTGATCTGTAAGCTGTGTACATGAACCTAAGCTAAATGAGCATCACTCCAGGCTGTTTGGAAATACTGTCTTCTGCTGGACCAGTCAATCCAACAACAAGCATGTTAACCAACAACTAAAGTCATATAATATTAAAGCCTGCATATAAAATACAATCACTTCAAGTTGTTTCAAAGTTTGATTCACCAACGTAAATTTTTAAAATGATGCTGTTGTGGTTATGAAACTAATTCTGCTGCACAAATAGAACAACTGTCAAACTCACATGTTTTCAGGCATCAACATTTTCAACAGTTTACCACCGTCTCATAAGTCTTATAATTAAAAAGGTACAATTTAAAGTAGCATTAAAAAGATACTTAATTACACACTCCTTTTACTCTGTTGATGAATTTCTAATGTTTACAAATAATTACATGAAGAAACAAACATTTCGGAACCATCCGTCTCCCATTATCAGGGTTCTCACATCACATCAGAGAACTGATGATGGGGACAGAAATGGTTCCTGAAACGTTGGTTTCTTCATGTAACCATCTGGCACAAATAACTAAAAACATTTCATACATGTTTTCGTGTCTTTATATACCACAAGTGAGTACTATAATTTATCTACTGCATGAAATGAGTGGATATATTTTTAATATATCACTGCTTTATGTAAACCCTTTGTTTATAATATGTGAAATCTTCATAATACTATGAACTGTACACATAATGTGTACATATTGATTAATTCCACATCCTATTGTCATCTGACAAACTTACAGATCCATGGAGTGGAATAAAGATGTCTGTATTTAGGTGTCTTCTGAACAGATTGAAAATCTGAATCAAATCCTAATATTCTATTTCAGTAATTATAGTGATTTATGTTGCAGTTTGCACCTTTCTGATTTAAAATTTATATTCTCTTCATTCCCAGTAGTGTTCTATTTGATAGACCTACAACAGTGGTTTTCAGCCCATGGCCTGCCAATGTGTTTTGTCTTCTGCATTACTGACTACTGTGTAACTCTATTATGAAAAATAGTTTCAAGATATCAGAAAACATGTTTTATTAATTTTTCCACAATTTGGCAATATCTTTCATTGTGAATAACTGATCAGTTAACTGAAAGTCAAACCCAGAAGGTGGGTACATCTTACTGGTGAAATCTTTGAGTGATGCATGTGAACTGCAACATAAAATTTGAAACTGAAAGATCACTCACGCAAAAGTATCCTCAAATATCTCATTAATGACTGTGAACTTTAAGCAAACTGTTTTCTGGACATTATCCATCATCCAAGATTAAATAAAATCAATAAAACCATGTTGTTTTGGAGATGGGAGTCTATCTCTGTCTTTAGGTAAGACCTACTCTGTTGGGCCCAATCAATAAAACTAATCCCTATCTCGAGATTAGCTCATTGATTGGGCCCACCAGAGTAGGTTTTACCTGAAGACAAAGATAGACTCCCATCTCCAAAACATCATGGTTTTACAGATTTTATTTAATCTTGGATGATAGATAACGTCCAAAAAACAATTTGCTTCAATAACGCACCATCATCAAAAACTTTCAGACATGAATTATGTGAACTTGTTTTAAATTATAAGTTTGCAGCACTTACACAAAATTGCCACATCATTTGAATAAATTTTACTCACTCCATGAGTTTAAAGAAAATGGTGAATGTAACCCTGTGTCTGGAAAAGGATGAGATCCCATCCCACAGCAATGAAGAAATTAATATCCTGAAAAACACAAACCTGCATCTTGAAACTTTTTATTAAACTTGAGCCCTTAGTGTCATGTGAAAACTACTTTGTAACATACCCAAATCTCATCACAAATATAACAATGTATCCTTTCAATCCCATTCAGATCACTAAAATGACAAGTATTGTCACACATTTCCATATTTATGAAATTCTTATGTCTGTGTACATGCACATAACATGTAATAACATGACACCATTATGTTACTGACCTTCCAAGTGACCTGGAAGCTGTCCTCTGTAATTTCTGTAGCCTGAAGATCATAATGTACAGAATCAGGAACTGAAAATTACATTATTCAAATATCACAACTGTCTCCAAATTGAAACATAAACACAGAGGTGAGATATAGTTTAATACACTGAATATCTAACAATATGTAAGTAATTTCAAAAGAAATGTACACTTCACATTTATCTCAGAAATAAAAGTTTCTTCTACAAAATAAATTTACAGTCCTCCCTTCACTGTAACCACTATCCTGCCTGAAGACAGCCTCCCAACACTTTGGTCACTTCTGCAGACACCTTGTCTGTTTCCAAGAATATGAAGTCACAAGGCAGCCACTGTAGCTGATGTTACTGTAGGATCCTCCCTTCCCCCTCCACCACACATGTATACAGCCCTGATACAAGTGCATCACACTTTGTTATTTTTGCAATGTCAAAGGAACATATTACAAACACAGGATGAGAAAGCAGCTGCAAGCATGTCAGGTATTCTGGTCCACATTTCTGGACACAAAGCATAACACTTCTACTGTACACTGCTGTTACAACTGTCCTGGCAGGCACTCTTATCAGCTGCTATCAGGCCACCCATATCTTATGCAATGATCTTCAGTCTTCACTCTTTGTTGTTGTTTGCTACATTTTTTCTGACATTAAGTTACATATTTCCACTGAGTAGACTGTGTCCTCAAATCTGGTCTAAGTTTCACTGATAGTACAAACCTCTTCAAGAAGTTTTCCTTTTCAGACCCAGTATTTCATCAGCTAATCTGCCAATCATCTTCCACTTTGTTTTCTGATCAGTCAGTTGGTGTGGAATTCATTTTTATTTTCCGGCTGCATTTCAGTAACAAAATATAAAAATGGAGTCTACTGAATTGCTCATGATTAAATTTTTAAATGAATATGGTACAAGCTAGAGCCAGACTTCGAAGGAGCAGCATCTGTGTGTTTATTTCTCTAGTTGTTGAATTGTTCCCAAATAACTAGGCTCGAAAACCAATGAAGAAAATGACAAGTCACATGCGAGTAATTTCTTCACATGCCATATGATCTTCACCCAGAAAGATACTGATGTTCTGTTCATTACAGTTGACAATTTCCTGCACATCCAGACATTGGTGTTGCTTAAGCAAAGAGGACAAAAGCACATTCCTAAGACCTTTCTGCTGCCCCATGTAGTCAGACCACTAATATGTCCATTGTGTATCCACCTTTACCGTTACTATGGCCCCACAAAGAACCCATCCACAACATTATCATCATGTCCTGACTGAGACCCTCCTATTGAATCTAACATGAATATCCAAAGATCTCTGTTCTGTGCCACCCACCTTTCCTGAATACTGTGCTTTATGAGAGGCTGACGATACTTAGATGCTGCCTCAGTGTTCACTGGCCAGTCAAAAATCTGTTACCAGCATGCATCATTCCCTACCCAAAGCCAACAGATTCCTGGACAGTTCATTTCAAGGCCTTTACCCAAAGCAAACAAATTCCTGGACAGTTTGTTTTAAGGCCTTTAAAGAGCATTAACTACCTCATTCACACCTAGCATGGAAACTCTGTGTTCCAAGTGTTTCTATTTCAGCCACTCCTTAACCATTTACTACCAACACATGGAGAGATTGTGAATACTGGTTTGGAACTGAAGAACAAACTACTCAAATCCTTAACCATGGCATCCACATTCACATTCCCCTGAATTCCACTATGACCAGGAACCCAGAGCAGTGTGACTTCAACTACACAGGACACATTACCTGTCAACTCACATGCAGGTACTGTGCTGCATTCTACTGGACAATATCCATAAACTTCTTACAATTCATTGTGAACCTCAGATGGCTCTTGCCATGCTAAATTTAAATGTTGATGTATGGGTACTGAGCACTACATGATGTCCAACTTGGGTAATTTTCAATTCCCATGTTAAAGCCTACTTCTGCTGGAGGAATACGAAAAGAAAAAGAAACTCATGCATGCTATTGCTCGGAAGGCTAACTTTTACTTGGCACTAAAATCAGAAAAAAATCATGAACCTACTGCCCATGGTGGTGGTGATGTGTTGTTATGCTATGTGGACTTGAAAATAGATACCAACATTTCAGAGAAACATGCCATCTTCAGCCCTGGTGATGGAAACAGTACTTTTCTCCAAAACAATGATATCTACCTACAAGTCTGTCTACACAGCATAATAACACAGAACAATGTTTTTAGGTTAGAATATTTTAGGGAAATACTAACATGAAGACTGAATGATAGCTGGGCCACAGTTTTGTTTATACAGAGGTGTGCACAACACTTCCACTAGCTTTACTTCATTCAGTGCTTTCAAGAACTGTGCGCCTAACATAACACTGAATGAGGGAGCATGACTGTAAATGAGAAACAATGGGAAAGGAAGTTGCTGTATTTCATTCAATCAGCACTTGCCTGGAGGGGCTGAGAAAACCCAAAAACCTCAGGATGTATAACTGGTTTCTGGGTTGAGAAGGTTCCTACACATGAAGCAGGGGTGACAACCAACTGGAACAGTCAAAGTACTAATTTAATTTCCTGCACTCTGCTGTTCACTGAAATCACCGAGGCACACTGAATGGAGAGAGACTGAATGCTTTTAACATAAACAAACCTGCACATTTAGTGATGATCTCTGCAGGCAAAATATTTGGCCCCTGGTAACTGCCACCATCCTTGTCCAGAAGCACAACCCTTACTTGATAGCGGATACCAGATTTCAACCCAGTAATATTTCTTGTTATTTCATTTGATGTTATCTGACGATACTCTAGTTCCAACCATAAATCATGATTTGCTTCCTGCAAGAATGAAATGAAAAAATATTACTGTCAGAATTATGTTTGTACCAGCAGTTTCCAAGAAAACATTTCCTGTTGTAACATTAATGTTAAAATATTATTTTGATATGGATGTTCCAATAATTTCACAGAGCTTGAATTATTGGCAGACAGGACTATTTTAGAAAACTTAGGACATGCAAGAAAGTATTAAGTTTAGAACAGAAACCTTACAACACCTTAAACCTCATTCTCTTTGATTCATTATACACAACTTTGTCCAATGTTCAGTTACTTTCAACAATTTCCAGTGCCTGCCTACTGCGACAACATACCATTGTATCACTGAAGTCAGCTACTGGTTCAGCTTTGAAAAACATGTTTCAACTGTCAATAATCATCAGCGTCACACCCGCACTACAGTTTCTAATGTAAATAAATGCCTTGTTGCTTTTTATACAGAAATAAAAAATAACACTAGAAGCTATGTAAGGAATAAAACCAAATAAAATTATAAAACATAAAAACACACAAATATTGTTTTGCAGATAGTTGGGTGGAGTGATATCTTTCATTCACGTCCTATGATTGGTAGTGTATCCTGAACCAGTTAAAACAGGGAGGATATTCATAACATGATTGTGAAGCAACTAAATTATGGAATTATTTCAGGTTCCCACAGCTACAAGTATAAAGATGGTCATCTTCTGGGATGCTGCACCATAGAGTCTGGTAGATAATGACCAATTTTTCAGAAGGACTTACTGCCTTCATCATCAGGGTAAAGAGTGATCATCCTGACTACATATAAGTGCCTCTGAAACATCAGTCAGTATCCACTAGACTTCATGGTGCAACATCCAAGAACATGACCACCTTTAATTAATTTCATGATAGACTGTGATTTCCACGTGTCATTTCACTCAAGGCCGATCACTTTCCAGGGGGTGACAACTGATCTAAAAAGAACCACATACTGCAATCTGCTTATTCATGAAACGAATTACATAGAATAGACCGCAGTTACAACCTCAAATTATCCCCATTTAAAAGCATATGAACTTGCATCTCTTGACAAGGTCTAAAATTACTGATATTTACACAGGAGTCTGAATTAAATGAAAATGAATTAATGGGGTTTTACAGCAGTTTCTTACAAGTGATTGTAACTTATTTTCAAAACTACCATATACATAACTTTTGTATGCAGAGCACAGTAATGCTATTCATCTAGTCTGTGGATTTTACTTCAGTTCTCCTTAACAATTATATGTGCTATCTTCCATTCTTCAGCTGTCTTCCCTGCATTCCATGTGCCCAAGAGTAACAGATGGTTGTACTTATAATATTTCAACAGGTATATATCTCCATGAACCTCTGTGCTCTTACATTTCTTCTTACTGTTAAAGATTTCTTCATTTCTATCAACTACATTACATCCACATCATTATCTATGTAACCAACAGAAGAGGACGTGGGATGGAGGAAGGTTAATATTGCATGCTCTGCACATGCCAGCAATACTACCATCTTTGCTGTACACATCATATGAGCAGTGTGCAGAAGTAACAACAGAGTGAACTCTGCAGTTCAGAATGTCTTTTAACCATCATCCCACTGCATAAACCAAGCCATAATGACCCAAGCCAAAATCACTGCTAAGCAGTGCAGATGCCTTGTAAAATGACACAGTTTTTATGACTGACACATTTTATCTCATTAAGTAAAATTTGAGCTTTTCACATTGGTGAGTATGAAGATGGCTGTCTTCTGGGTTGTAGCACCATGTAGTCTGGCAGGAGTTTACCAAAGCTTCAGACATCCCTGCTATCTCCATCATCTGAAACACTGGTAAACTTCTACTTGACTACATGAAGCTAAACCCAGAAGATAGCCATATTCGTTTTCATTCATTAGAATTTATTTGTAGTATTGATACATTGGTCAGTGGTATCAATTCTATCTTTGTTTAATTAGTACATCGACTCTGAAATTTCTGAATGCATTACACAGTATTTCTGTTCTCCTACAGTATCTTATTCTGAACTTTCCCAGTGATAAATTTTAAATACTTTTCCTTCTTACTGCATACAGCCTTTCAAAGTGTTTCCATATACACAATCTGATTCTCTTCAGTTCTGTAATCATAGTTAATCTATTTGGCTGTTCTGTCACGGTCTTTATTAGAACCCAATCTACATTCATAACTCTTCTTCTTCCATTCAGGATTGTTTTGGTAATTATGGCATTTCAGAAAATTCAGAACTCACCTTGTATTGTAACTGATAAAATCTGGGGGAACCCCTGCCTTTGCAGTTCTGCAAATTTGCTTCAACTGTGACACAGAGGTATTCTGTGACCTTGACATCTGGAGCTGTTGACAGGTACTTGTATGCTGAGCACAAAACCAATAGGACAATTATGCATGAGGCATTAATATTATTCAGAATATTAATCATTTTCATTTGAAGCCACCTGTTCCAACATAAAATTTCAATGAATGTGTAGTGGAATTAAACCCACGATACAAAGTATCATGGTGGTTTGAACACATCTGATGAGTGAGAAAAGCTCCTGAATCATGGCAGTAAATCAGTTCCACCCAATGTGTAATAATGAATGCTAAGGCCATATTTAGGCTACATAACATGTAAGTTCTTGAAAGCAATAAATTACCAGTAGTTTAGCTGACTATAAACTAATCAATTCATCAACGTCAGGGGCCCTTACATATAGGAGGTTGCCCAAGGAGCCTACCGAGACAGTGGAATAGAAGCCCACCCTCCTTCCCAAGAAGTCATCACTTCCGAAGGAGGTCATCCAACAGCTGCAGCCACAGCGTTTGAGGCATCCTAGACTGTACAAGCTCCCAAAGTTCCACAAGAATGGAGCCCCACCCCATCCCCAGGGCTATCATCACCACCCTAACCACTGGCCCAGTATCTGGCTAGGGAGCTCAGGGAATATGTGCGGCAATTTCCACAACATATAAAGAAATTTGTGGAGTTCTTTAACACCACAAAGTCCTCCATATTGGTCCTGAGGACATCCTTATCAGCTTCAATGTCATCTGACTTGTCACAATGGTGCCCATTGCAGAAGCCCTGCAATTCCTGACCTGACACTTCAATGAAAATATCTTGAGACAATTCTGTCATGTATCAACCTCTTCCTTTCTCAGGTTCGGCAAATGGTAGTACGAGAAGACTGATGTTGTGGCCATGGTTTCATCACTATCCACTTTCACTGCCAACTTCCTCATGAAGAACTTCGAAGAAACAGCTCTGGAAGGGGGAACCCACAAGCCCCTCTGCTGGTGTCATTAAGTGGATGACATATACATCATACAAAACCATGGTCCGGACAAGCTGTTTAGAGTCGCTTTACCACCTGAACAGTATCGATGAGAACATTCAGTTCACTATGGAAACAGTAAGGGATGGCCATCTTCCATTCCTCGATATCGACACATACTGTAAACCTGATGGCTCTCACACTAACCTCTAACTCAGCTTTAATTCTTACCACAATCCTTCCAACAAATAGGCTGTACTATCCATACTGGTGCGCAGGGTCAGATCCTCTTCTGATAAGGAAAACTTGGTTAGTGAACTGGAGCTTCTCTGGACCACTTTCAGGCAGAACGGCCAAATTTTATGGGCTCTCAACCATCCATCAAGAGTAATGACCTTCAACCACATCAGCAAGCTTGTGTCCAGACACATCAAGTTTGTGGGCTATCCCCATAGAAGATCCCTGGTTTCCTTCATCCTGCGAAGGATGGCCTGGGACTCGAGACTCTTGGTGTATACAGAGTGCCCTGGGAGTATGGTCAAGTCTGCATCAGGCAGACTGGACATTCCATCGAGACCTGAGTGAAGAAGCACCATCACTACATCTGTCTGAAGCATCTAGTCAAATCTGCCTTGGCTGAACACAGCATCAACTTGGGCCACCGCATTTAAATCCAGGACACCACTCCTGTCCACAAATCTAGATACATTGACTGGATGATCAGAGAAGCTACCATGATCAAGCTACATCCAAACAAGTTGAATAGGGAGAATGGCCTTTGCCTACACCAGTCATACAAGCTCCTCATCCACTCTCTCAAAGGACATAAGACATATCTGATACAGCACTGCCTATCCCAACCTGGCCACTAGACCACTACACTGTCCTCTTCAGGACAACACTTGGCCCCAGTCAGTCCTTATTTCCACTCTCCTTGCTCCTCTTCATCATGTCTGCCGGCCACCATTCTGTCCAGTGATCCAACTGCCAGACCCCAAGGGGCTCTTCCAAGGGCTGATTTCTTGGATATCTCTCTCTTTCATGTCCTTCCCCTTCAGATGGTCAAGCTGTGATATGCCCCTCACTCCTATTGGTTGCCAGGCCCTTGCCTGATCCTGACTAGAGTCCCCACTGGTCTGGCCAAAGCTCTGCCTTGACTGACAGTTATCTATATCCCAAACTGATTCCACATGAACAGCTTAATCATTACCGATGAGTGAGGCAGCAAGGACCTCTGAAACATTGGTAAACTTCTATCAGACTACATGGAGCTACAACCCAGAAGACAGCTATCCTCTCAACTTTTGTTCAATGGTGGATTCCCAGAGTAGGGTCTTATGATGGAGACCCAACACTGCTATCTGCACTTTAAATAAACATTTAATTAAAATGTTACTGCATCACAAATGGTTTATATTATGACTCACTAAATGTTTACACTTCTTTGTTCCTTGCCAATTTCAAACATTTCACTATTACCCCATGGTGTAGTTGTAAACAATAACCCCGAGAGCTATGCCGGCGGTAGCTTTGCTACTGGTAGGGCCTCCCAAGCCGGACAGGTCAAGGGTAGGGACCAGACTAAGAGAAATACCCTGGTCCTCCAGGTTGGGGGTTGGATCGTAGGGCCGACACCCCTACATCTGTAAAAATGATATATGTTGAGAAGCCTCTATCGAAGCCTCGGATAAATGGGAAAGAGAATGTACGGCAACGACCTTGGCAACGGAATATGGTTTTCGAATTTGGCACATGGAACGTCAGGATACCCAAAAAAATATTGAAAGGAATAATATATGGGAGAAGGCCAGTGGGAAGACCTAAAGGTAGATGGCTGGATGCAGTGACGACTGACTCCAGAAATCTCCTTGGAACAGCAGCTTGGAGAAGGATAGCATTGGATAGAGAGAATTGGAGGAAGAAGATAGAGGAGGCTAGGGCTCGATTTTGGGCTGTTACGCCATAGCAGTGGTAGTAGTAGTATTTGTAAACAATATACAGTAACATGTGCTGCAAATTTCAAATTGACACAGTTGCTGTAGCACCAAAATGTGGCAAATCCACACAAACCAGTGTTTACTGTTTTATGTGCTGTTATATTATAATCTTCACAGTTTGTATGATCATAGGTGAGTGATGCATATTTATTAGTTTCACTTGCAATTCCTTAAGACTCCACACTTGTCTGCCTCTATATTTCATTAAGAACACAATTTTAATGTCTGAATCCCAACCACACCAGATTCCTTTCAATATTAAGAACTAATTTATATAAACTCGCCACAGTGTTCTAAAGTCATTGGCCCTTTGCTGTTAGAAAAATAAGTACATCAGTTGACAGCACATTGCTTACCTGAATTTCACAACTGGATATCAAATTGATATTTGATCACTTCTCCAGTTTTTTAAACTCAACCTGTATCAATATTCTTCATTTGAAACATTTATTACTTTCTTGTGATATTGCATAAAACAAAAAATACAAGTTACAACATTCTGTATATTTGGTGAAAACTTCCTCATATCTCCAGGCTTTCTGTCCTCTTTCCCCTCCTTTTGTGTAATCTTTGCAAGAAAAGCATAAGGAGAATGCGTTATAGGCAGGTAGTGTATGTCCCTCCATCTGTTGAGTCGATTCTACTTGGTAACCACTGGAGAGATTTCTTTGAAATTATGCTTTTGAATATCCTACAAATGGTGATATTGAAATGATGAATGAGGGAAGCTGAGGATGGTAGACACTGAGGTGCTGCTATCTAGTGGCTAAAGCAGGAACTACCAAACAAGGTGAATTTAATAGAGGTAGCCCTCGATTTGTGCCGATTTTGAAACCAGAAAGTCAAAAAGTGAAAAGAATATATTTTACTATTATTTATAACAAAGAAGTATCATTTGTCCCATATATAAAAAGGGAGATAAGTTGGAATGTATGAACTACAGAGGAATTGTACTGCTATGCACAGCCTATAAAATATTCACCACCATACTACGTAATAGGATAGAACCAATAGCTGAAAATATAATTGGAGAATATCAGGCAGGGTTTAGACGTGGTAGATCAACAATGGATCAGATAGTCATGGTCAAACACACTCTCGAGAAGTGCTGGGAGTATAATGTGAATATATATACCACCTCTACATAGATTTCAAGCAGGCATATAATAGCATTAAGAGGAATAAACTATATTCTATTATGTATGAATTTGGTATAACCCCCAAATTGATACGGCTTGTTAGAGCAACTATGACTCACACTGATGCACAAGTAAAGATACAGGTAGATCTCACAAGTCCTTTTAAGATTGAACAAGGCCTGAAACAAGGTGATGGGCTAGCCCCAATACTGTTTAATTTAGCCTTAGAATACATAATTAGAAAGCTGCCAATAGATGTTGACAGAACTCTTGAATTTAAGATGTGCCAAATAGTCGGATACGCAGATGATATATGTTGCTTGGCAGGTCATTAAAATCTGTGAAGGACCTGTTTGAAGTCATGAGAATTAGTGCTGATGAAATTGGATTAACTATCAACGAAAATAAAACTAAAGCTATGATCCAAACACGTAAGCAGAATAGAGTAGACCAACAATTGGTAATCCAAGATCATAATATTGAGGTGGTGGATAGTTTTGTATACCTGGGCACATGCATTACCAGTAATAATGATGAATATAGAGAGATTCAAAGAAGGCTAATGTTGGCCAATAAGGCCTACTTTTCATTAGTGGCAGTGATGAAAAGTGGAGATATACACAGGAAAACGAAGATACTGCTGTATAAAACCTTAATTCGCAGTGTTCTCAAGTATGGCTGTGAAAACTGGGTGCTGTCCCAGAAATCGGAAAATACCCTGAGAGGGTTTGAAAAGAAAATACTAAGAAGGATTTGTGGCCCAGTTAAAGATAATGACCAGTGGAGGGTAAGATATAACCAGGAGTTATACAGACTATATAAAGATCGCAATCTTGTAACATGTATTAAATTAAATAGACTGCAATGGACGGGGCATATTCAAAGGATGGATGGCACAAAAACCCTTAAGAAAGTCCTAAATGCTAAGTTTGAAGGGACAAGAACAGTGGGAAGACCTAGAGGAAGATGGGAAGATGCTTCGAGACCGGATGCTGCCGGTCTGATCCAATGTCGAAATTGGAAAATGGCCACAAATAATAGATCTTCATGGAGGCAGAAAATTGAGGAGGCCAAGGCCCGATATGGGCTGTCGAGCCATTGGATGGATAAATTATTTATAACGTTTTACAATGTTTCTCGTACTGTTTCTTATACTAAACCGTAATTCTTACATGGCTGATTTTGAATAAAAATTATAAATGCAGTCATCTCTGCAATTACGTATGTTTTGTTAACGCGAATTTGTTCCAATGAGATTGATGAATCGGTAAAAGCTGTTTGTGAAATGCAAACTTTTGCATATGCAAGTTTGCTCTTATGCAATTGAGTCCATGAGGCATTATCGTGAAATTTTGAATGAATGGAAGAAAGAAGAAATCACGACAGTCCACACTACATGCCTTCTTTAAAAAACATGACGATCCTCAACCAGGGACTTCGTCAGAGTACTAACGCTGCTTTATCACGCCATCGCCGATTGCAAGCGTATAAAATATATTTTTTAAATTCCCTTTCTTTTATTTACGTTATTCCAGAGCTTTAAATGTAATGCCATTATATTAATTGTCAACGTTTGGGTACTGGGAATGCATGTCACTGACTTCCCATTGATTTACATTATAAAGTCGTTCCAATTTACGCCAATTCAGATTATGCCAGTTAGTCCAGGAACACATCCCTGGCGTAAATCAAGGGGTACCTGTACCTCTAAAAGCACACTGCAAAGACAACAAGAATATTATCAGTATTCTTGTATGGAGTGCGCTTTCCGAGTTTATTACCTTAGATAGAAGAAGAATCCAGCTACTGAAATGCACTATTATTATTTTATAATTTCAATGATGGCAAAGCCTAAAGAATAATTCAGCATATTATAATGTACTACTGCCACAAACCTTCAGACTTCAACATGCTCTGTATATCCCACTGCACACAAGAAGTAACATAAGTTGGACTCACTTTGTTGGCAGAATGGAGGGTAGTATCCTGGTTCACATCCTAATGGACATTCTCCAGTGTACCTGTCACAGGCAACATCATCTTTACAGTGACCACATTTCTGCTTGCATCCAGCACCATATTCCTTATAGCGACATTCTGTAAATAACAAGTGAGGTAGCATACTGTAGTTTGGGCAATAATGCTTCTATAGTCTTCACTGTAGACAGACTGATTTCTCCAGAGCAAAAAGCTGTTATGAAAACAATTTTTTTTTTTCATTTTATGAGCCAGATTTTGTCTTTTATACACTCATTTGCATGTGTGTTATATACATTGACTGATTTATGCCAAAACAGAAAACATATTCATGACTTAATTAAAGTTTCTGAAAAGATCATAGTTATCATGCTAGGAATTTCAAGGGGGTTTATGCTACAGTTATGCTAGTCATATAATGTGGGTAGGCCCTAGGAAGTTCATAGGTAACAAAAGGCAATATTTTTTATTATTCAAACCAACAGCACCTTGTGTGTCTTAAATGCTTCCTTCTTCAAGATGAGAGTTCTCTTATTAACACCCCCCCCCCTCTCAGTAATCTGTCTAGTGTGAACTGTATCTCTGGTTGAGCTCCATATGTCCAAATAAACAACGTATTTGTGACAACAGTGAAAGAACTAAGAAGGAAGTGGTCATGGTTTATTTCAAGTTATTACCCAATCGTTCATTGGAATGGCTAATGTAAACTGCAAAAATCCTCAGACAGGGTAGTTTGTGCCACAGTTAAGATTCAAACTGGGAACCACCTGTATACTGACCAGAATTGTTACCACATGCTTAGCTTGATACTGAGGCTGTGATTTCTGTCCTTTTGTGTGCTTATGGATTTCCCCCACCAGTACAAACAAATAGAACTGTATCTGTGCTACATAAATAATTATTTTATCCCACTAACAACTGTGTTCAGGAAGCAAATGAAAGTTTGGTTCAGTCTGGCTTCTACTCTGAAACAATTTTGATACTGTAAGATTAGTTTAAAATTAGGTTCTCAGAACCACAGTGACACAAATCTGTTAGTCTGCATGGGATAGGCCATGTTTCCTCTAAAGATTACCATCCATTCATACACATACTCAAGGAGTGTGCAGAGTAGTGTTTATGAATGCAATGACAAATAATTTCAAGAACAGAAACAACAGCTTGCCATATATGAACCAATTATCAAAATCTTGAGCATTTGCACTGATTTCTATTCACTGCTGCAGCCACAAAGGCAGCAAACTGATTTCATTACAACCACTGGTTTTGTCATTCTGAAGCAATGGTGTGGTATGTTAAAATATTTCTGCCATGCTGACTCATCTACTACCCAATATTTTTAAGAACAGAATAATAAACTAAAAAGTGGGATCAAAATGGGAAAAGCATATAAACTATACTGCCGGGCTGATTATTTGAAAATTCTGATTCTGGGAAAATTTTACTCATTCTTAATAGTCTACATTTTATTCCTAATTTGTAGGTTAAAAATGCCAAGGAATATACCACAACTTATTTCATAATTTTCTGCACTTAAATTACAATTTAATTTGACTGTGAAGTTGTACAAGGAAATCTAAATTCCCATATCTTAAAGGTTGAACTTATCATGTATACTCAGTATTCATAAAATGCGGCATGACATATGACTGTACCATTTGCCACACAACTGCAAGGTAATGCTGCATACTGGAATGACAGAGAACAATTCTTACCATGATGTATTCCATCTGCCTGCTCACTTTCACTATATCAGTTTCAGATGTAGTGAAGACATTTCTATGTTTTTGCCTTTTGTAAGTATGAAAGGCAAGAAACACATATAGTAATTTATTTTCCTTTAGCTTTGCAAAAAAAATGTGTGATATTATGCAATGACATGATATATGTGAAGAAATTTAACAGTTACACTTATTTCTTTTTTGACAAACTGACACATGGACAGAGAAAAAGCAGACTAAAATGCTATTCCTACACTTGTGGGATCATATTGTTAGCTTATGCATAAATGTTCACCCACGAGGACTTTTCACTAGCTCTTGGCTATATTAAAAGAAATGCTACTGAACTGCTTTGTGTTTATCTTCACCATTTAGTAGTACAGAGAATGAATTGTTCACGACAAAACTCACCTCTGTCACAGAAGGACCCTCTGAGCCCAGCCGGACAACTGCAACCCAGCAACGGGCGACACAGAATCATTCCTTGGCAGCCACTACGGGTCTCGGAACATAAACCCTCACATGCTGCACCAAACCTATTTGCTCCACAAGCTGGAAAGAAAGGGAATTAGGGTTAATTATGCTGTTTCTTAGCCCTGAAGATGGAAGAGCATATTTCTTTGAAATAATGACATCTATTGATAATTCTACAAGTTGCCAAAATACAGACGACAACGACGATCATCATCACCACTGTGAAAACCTCAAATCTCATGAAATTAAGGTTGCCTGTGATGACCAATATGCTTTGTTTTTACTAAGTTGTAAGAATTAAAAAAACAATGTTTCACTAAAACATGCCTTCAGTAATGACACTTGATATGAGTCACTGAATTAACTTGCATCTCAAAGATATATCATGCTAATTATGGTTACTTGACTGCCAATATCTAAGAGAGGGGTACATGCAATAGCATGCATCTAAAAAGGTCTCTACTACTTCCAACTTCCACAACAATCACTATCAAAACTGAAGTTTCACTTCATACGTTTTTCTTTTATCTGTGGACAACTGGATTGTATACAACTGCATCTAGTGACGTAGCTAAATGATTTCTGTGCAAATGTTTAAAAATGTTGCATGTCCCTACTATTGCAGATATAATGACAAAGTAAAAACTGAATCATTCTGCCATCTATTGGCTATGTTACAAAAGAAGGTCTTGCTTGAACTACAGCAAAATATGCCTCTGTAATACTTGAAAATAGAACGCAATGTGCACCAGAAGAGTACAGCCCAGCTGCCAAGTTTCACTGTGTAACTATAAGTTAATGTTTGTAAAAAAAAAAATGTAAGGAAAATTTGTTGCAATCCAATCAAAACGAAGAAATGATAAGTGTAAATTCCTATTCAGGAGGGGTTGTTCATAGATGATCAGTGAAAGCATTATATGTTGACAACAGTGAATAACCTATTCAGATGAGTTACCTTAAGCAACAAATATCAGAGGTCATGATTTATCACTGGTATTTAAGGTAAAAGTCACCCTCGGTCGACTAGTGGTTAGCAGGTTCAAACCCGGCTGAGGACGATGGATTTTTAAGGGTGATAAAAATCCGTAGCACAACTTCCTTCAGTGGGGAAGTAAAGCCAGCAGTCCCATTTCATAGATTTACAGCATGTAAAAGAAATTAACGATATATTTTAAGCCAAATTCAGCAGCTATTTCTCACCCATGTCTCCCCTGATTCTCTACCAGATGGCTCTGGCAGACAAAATCAGAATTGAGTAGAAATTGTGCAGAGACAGTGGGCTTGTAACGCTCTACTCATAAATGTACACTTCAAAGGAGACAAAGAAACTTCCCACATGGGAGGAGACCAAGGCTTGGCTTCAGGCTGTTGCAACATTGAGTGAGTGCGTAAGTGTGAGTCAGTCAATAATTTAAAGTAAATAAACAGCAATAAAGACTCACTGAAAACTTAAATGAAGGTTTAATAGCTAATGGCTAATCACAATACTCATAATGTACAGCAATACCTCGGTTAACATTCAGGATACACTCCTAGAAAGTGGAGCTCTAACTGAAACAGTGCTAAATGGGGTCATTATAGCATTTATAAATATTAGATGGGTGATAATACAAATACAATTAGAATAATGAAACTTACTTAATTATGTTTTAGATGAGGGGTCGACCTGTGGATCTTCAAGCCTCGGCTTCTTGGTATTTAAGAGTCAAGAGGTGATTGTCTTTCCTTGAGATCTCTCGCACAAAATATTGCTTGGTAGCAAGATATCATTTCAAGAATGCCTCACCTTACCTTACAGCTCAGGTCATAATCAGAGTCATGTTCTATAAACTGGTCCATAATTTTCATGATCATGGTGATGCTGTTGCTGAGGAATTCTGTTGTAAGATTTCTCACTTGTGCTTCCTTATTTGGGTCAGAGGCTTTCAGTTCTTTCTGGATGTGCTGCTCTGCTAGTTCTTTAAGTTCATCATTGCTAAGAGTCTCACCATGAGACTGCAATTCCTCAACATCACCCTCATTCATGCCCTCCATTCCCACTTCGGCAATGCTTTACATGATCAATTCCTCTTCAAAATCCTCCAAATGGCTGAATGCTTCTGGCCATAATTTCCTCCGCACCCCGTTCATGCAGTTTGGAGTCACTTCATTCCAGGCTTTTCTGATATTATCTATAGCATTCATAATGTTGTAATATTTCCAAAATTCTTTGAACAATTGTTAATCTTCATCATCTGTTTTCTCTACGAGGTTCTTAAATGTGCGACAGAGGTAGCAGGCCTTAAAATATGATATTTCTCCCTGATCCATTGGTTGTATCAATGAAGTGGTGTTGGGTGGAAGGTAAACCACTTCTACAGGAATGCAGGTTTGAAGTGTGAATAATTGGCTACCTAAATGAGTGTTAGCTATGATGTTGAAATAGCAGCAGCTCAAGGGAGTTTACAGTGAGTGCTACAACGAAACAGCGCCAAACGGGGCAGCATTAGCCAGGGTATTACTGTATATATGTAGTGTTCAAAGATGTTAAAGAACTGATATAATCACATATGGATACATACTGATAACACAAAATTTAAAATCATAATATTTATTTATTTATTAAGATGAGTGTCTGAATATTATAGCAAAATTGTATTTAATACCTTCCTCACAAGTTGAGCCACCAAATCCTGATGGACATACACAGCCACCACGTTCCTCATCAAAAATTCCACCATTTATGCAAGTCACTTCAAAAGAAACTGAAAATGTCAAAAAGAATAATTCATACATCTCTGCACACACTTCTTATACCTACATTGCAAGGTAGCTACTTACATCAAGAAAAACTCTTTTGGTGCTTTCAATTTCAATTTCAACTTCAATGCAATCAATATATTAACTACTAGACTGCCTCTGGCACACAGTAAGTTAGTGTAAGACACCAAGGAATGCAATAATACTTACAAAGCTTATTCTTTTGTGACCGCATCACTGCTACATCGTAACCACCGTTTCGGACATCAATGGTGGTAGCTCCATTTGACAACTCAAGAATATCTTCTAATCCTAGAGTGTTACAATAAATTTATATAAGACATAGTGCCACAACAGAAACATATTCCAGTCACTTCTGGCCTTCTATATCAAACAGTTAAATTCTAATACCGAACTCATGGACAATATACCTTCTCCATTACAGCCAGCTATCCGTTGCACCAAAACATCTGATCCATACGATTTTCTTCCTTTCAGTACTATTTGTGTTAATCTGTCTTGTTTTCCTGCTGGCAGTTCAACAACAAACCTCTGTGTTTTCCATTCTCCAGTCTGCCAAAGAAACGTTTATAAAACAACTTTTTACTCTTCACTCAGTATACTTCTATTACTGCAAGAAAATCAGACGCCCTTGACTCAATATATTTTAACAATACAGGTAAACCTCGATTTGGGACATTTCAATTTGCGCTGATTCAGAATAACGCCGATTTTGAAACCAGCAAGTCACAAAGTGAAAAAGATACTATTATTTATAACGTTTTACAATGTTTCACGTACTGCTTCTTTTACTAAATCGTAATTCTTACATCACTTATTTTGAATAAATATTATAAATACAGTCATCTCTGCAATTACGTATGTTTCGTTAACGCGAATTTGCTCCAATGAGATTGATGATTCAGTAAAAGCTGTTTGTGAAATGCATACTTTTGCACATGAGTTTGTTCTTATGCAATTTCGTTCCTGGAGCTCTAAACTTTCAAAGGGCTAATTTAATCTCTGCGGAGGTACCGGGGTTATTTTTACTACGCGATTTTCTATAAGTTGGAGTCTTACATGAATGCAACTATCGCATAACACCAGATATGACTGTACGCATCAATCACATGAAAGAATCACAGTCAATCGCGATGACCAACGATTTGCCTGTTGAAAGTGTATAAAATATTTTTTTTTTTAAATTCCCTTTATTTTATTTATGTTATTTCAGAGCTTTAAATGTAATGCCATTAATTACTCGTCAATGTTTGGGTACTGGGAACGCATGTCTTTGACTTTCCATTGATTTACATTATAAAAAGAGATTCAATTTACGCCGGTTCGTCCAGGAACGCATCCCGGGCGTAAATCGAGGGCTACCTGTATATAATGAATGCGTTTGAAATTTAGTAGTTTTACTAACTTCTGTTGACATTTATACATCTGGATAAAATCAGACAACAATAAAGGACACTTTACATTAAGACCAACAAGAATTGGTCAAAACATTCAGTGAATGAATGAATGTATAAATGATCAAATCTTATTTTATTATTAATCCCCTTCAGAGTTCCCCTCCACACATGCCTGTCTGTGTACACACAGTACTGTCACTGCTGGAAACATTTTGAAAGTCTTATTTTGTAAACACATACAGAGGGCATTATGTTGTGGTGTGCCAAAACCAGAAAAAACATCAAAAGGTAAGGAATTCTGAAATGAGATATTATTAGCTTCTTAAGAAGGGCTCAATTCCATGGAGTTAGTTATGGTTTAACAAAGCTGTAAATAGCTCTAAAAGGAGTTGAATAATAAGATAATAAAATAATATTAAACTTAATAAAGTGGTCATGGCTTAATTTAAAATACTCTTAGCAGCTGCCTGGAGGGACCAAAAAAATACCACAGAAATTCTCACAGATAATTGACCTCCAGACCGAACTTTGAACCTAGAATCTCGTGAATATGAAGCAGGAGACTAATTACTCAGCTGCAACATTCAGTTTTTGCCCCCATTAAAATATCCTCTGGGAGAGCAACATTTTATGTAGGGTTTCTTTTACTAGTGAAACATAATTCAAAATTATGGTGTCTTTGAGGTATGAATTTCATAATTCTTTCATTTTGAGACCTCATGAAGATCTATAAATTTATGTTCTCTGAAGTGCATTCACTGATATAACCATCTCTTCCTAGCCCACAGCAGAAAATGCATGACTCACCACACAGTGCCAACAACTGCCACTAAGATTATTCACACAAAAGTGCAGCTGTGCCAACATCATGGTATACTGGTTATTGTTATGTGGTTTTGGTTCAATATACTGATTAACACTGTTTTTTCTGTATAAATAACATGTGAAACATGGTTCTGCTATATAATGTTGAAGAAAATTTCATACAATCATTCATTTTCTGTGACCTGTCTGAAAAATTCTGTCAATATTAGTCTCACATACCCATCAGAACAGTTTACACAGAATATGGAATACTTAGTTTAGTATTTATTGTGGACCACATGCCAACTTTATGGATTAAATGTGGATTAAGAGGTCTGCAGTATGCACTGTTCAACAGTGTATCAAACCATATCCACACATACAATAATAACCAGTATTTAACACAATGACACGCAGTTGAACTGTTGTGTGAATAACTTCAGTGGAAGTTGCTGTTAGCAGTTCTGGGCAGAAGCTGAGAAAAAGACAGTTGCAAATTACTATGTCAGTTAATGCACCGAGTTAGTATTGATCTATAATTTACCCTATGATCTTCATTCTTCTTTACATATCTCAGTAAAAGTCCCATCAATGATTCCAAAAAATGTATTTCAGCAGCTGCAATTCTTGTACCACTATTTTCTGTAAAATGTGTTCTTTGCATGATGTGCATAAAATGAACACATACAGTGCTAGTTATGCCTGCCCAGCCTGCCCACCCTTCCACCCAGGATGTAAAATAATATAGTACATCAGAACATGTCATTTATTGACTTCAAGAAAGCCTACCATGCAGTTAAACAAGAAGAATTATATAAAATTCTCACTGAATTCAGTATACACACAAAACTAATTTCTTTCAACTTATTAATCTAACTGAAATGTTGTTATACAAAACCTAGAGCAATGTCTGTATAAGTAAATAGTTTTGTCTATTGTGTTTTGTAATTAAATGGTCTTAAACAAAGAGAACCTTCATAGTCATTTCTCTTCAAATTTCCTTCCTGTCAGGAAGGTCCTATCAAACAATCAGGGATTTGAATTGAATGGAACACAAAAGCTTATGATCTCTATGTTATTAATGTTGATTTATTGGATAAAACAAATATCATAAGGATAACACAGAAGCTCTATTATGTATTACCAAGGAAGCTGGTTTAGAAGTTAACAAGATGGCTTACAGAACCCGAAGATTCATCACCAAATTCGCCAATGGCCTCCACCGGACCCTGTCCTGGGCCAACAAAATCAAGTCTCCTTCAACTCCCATCTCCCACAGATCCCACCTGACATTAACCTCCCATCTACATCTAGGTCTCCCCAGAGGTTTCTTCCCCTCAGGCTTCCTGACCAATACCTGCAGCATCCATGCAAGCCACATGCCCTGACCATCTCATTCTTCTTGACTTAATTACCCTGACTTTTTAAGTTCATCATTATGCAGTTTCTCCATACCCCACAGTCTTCTCTCCTAGACCCAAATGTCCTCCTCAACACCCTGTTCTCAATCTACGTTCCTCCATCAGAGTGATGGTTTAGAAGTAAATATTTGTCTCTTCACCAGACTACTGGGAAATAAGTTACATTAAGGTAGCTACCAATATTTTGAATATTAGACAATAACAACATATTTGGAAATAATGGGAACAAATCAAAATTATAGTCCAGAACACACAGCAGATTAATTTTAGAAAATTCTTGCTACCATGCCGTTCAGAATATTTCGTCATCCCATTTACTACCTAAAAACAGAGATTAAAATATATACAACTACTGAAGATGACCCTGATAATGGAGGCAGCAATTACCTCTGAAAGTTTGGTAAACTTCCACTAGACCTGATGTCACTATAACCCAGAAGACAGCCACACATAGCCTTCATACTCACTACCATAAGAACCTCAAATCCTCCATGTAAATTATTACTGTAACCATGGCAATGTATGTATTAAAAGAAGACTACATATTTATGGAGCCTGAGAACAACAGGTCCTAAGAGGGAAAACACAAAAAGGGCTATAATGAGGAGCTCCACAATTTTTTTTCACCAAACATTATTACAAAGATACAACCATAGAGGATAAAATGGGCAGGGCATGTACTAAGCATGGGGCATATCTGAAATTTCTACAAAATGTTGTTTGAAAAGCCTGAAGGGAAGAACTACTTGAAAGAGCTCGGTACATGTGGGAAAATAATATTAAAATTAATCTTATAGAAATAAAGTAGGAGAGTGTAGACTAGATTCATTTGGCTCAGGATGAGTACCTGAAGTGAGCTGTTGTGAATATGGAAATAAATCATCATGTTCCAAGAAAGATGAGGATTTTCTTGACTAGCTGAGTGGTTATCAGCTTCTGAAGGAAATCTTCTTCATTGAGGAAGTTTGCTTAGTGCCAGCTATGCACCATGATGCCAAGAAAGTAATTAAGGTTAGCAGGTAGCTCACAGTTAGTCTTCAGACATTATCTTATTTAGCTGCTGGAACCAGATTAAGTTCATCTATACTAAAGCCATTTTAAAAGATGCTAGATCTACTGAAACTGGACAAACTACAACTCATTAGCCATCTAACAAAAAAAAACATATACTTCCATGAACAGTGGAGTCAGTTTTTTAATCACAAATAAGAAAAGCCAGCACAGAAAACCACTTACAGGAAAGAAGTTGATGACACAGTCACTAAGAGAAAAGTACTTTCTGACACTTGCATATCCCCTGGATGAATGAACAGTAAAATAAATAAAATATTCTATTATTTTAAGCTCCTCTGATTTAATGACACTTGAATAGCTCAGATTTTACATTGTTGAATGACTGGATTAGTAATAAATAAACTGGAAGGGACATCAAAGGAAGCAGTCATGGTCTAACCTAAGGTAATACACCAGCACTTGCTTGGAAGTACTGAGGAAAAACAGTAAAAACAGCCAGCCTCTGTGTGAACAACTGAAACTGGGAGCTCTCAAAAACAAGACAGGAATGCAAACCACTCAACTGTAACACCTAGTGAAAAGCAAATAGATTTACTGTACTAACAAAAATGAATTTTAAAATATGCAGTGCTGCATGTATAGGGAAAAACCAAATTGGTTAATGTAGGGTGAACATCTTCACTTAATAACGCCCTAACTAATGCCATGCTAATCAAGTCTGATAAGGAATACATACATTTTTGATAGTATCGAAGTCCAGTCTGTCACCTCCAGCCCAAAGTGCACTCAATTTCAGACTGCTGCCTGCAGTTGATGGAAGGTAGTATGTGAGTGACACACATAAACTACTTGAGTGTGGTACAAAAGTAGGGCTCATCAGGTATCCTTCCACTTCTGCAAGTGACAATGTGACAGAATCACCTGCAACAAACAAAATTTTATCTTTTATAAGATTCAGTGGAGCATGATGATGTGGGAAAAAATGTATAAATTATCAAACAAGCATCTTGTTTCAGACATGAGTCCACGAGTTTTTGGCAATTTTCACAAATTGCATCACTGTTGTTCGTTGATATCTTCTTTGCTGAATGTGATGTATTGCTGCTATTGTAGATACTGTACAGTTCCATGGTGTGGTGTTGGTTGTACAATCTGTAGTTAGTGGGCTCTTGTTATGTTGAATACAAGTTTTCTTGTTAGATTATAACTTTGAAGGAGTTGTTTGTCCTGTGTCTGATCCCACAATGTTTCAGAGGTTTGGTAAACAATACCTCCACCCTTCCTCCAGTGGTCCACATGATAGCAACTCTGTTCTGCCTCAAATATTACTTTTGTATTATTATTATTATTTATTTAGTGTTCTGTCTGACGACAGGTCCATATGAACAGGATCTTCCATCCTTTTCTCGGACTGGGACCTGTTCATATATGTTCTTGGCAGATGATCCAGAAGTGGTTTGCCATTGCCTTCTTCTGTGTGTGTGAATGGAGTAATTGTTGGGATGCCACGGAGAAACCGGGGAAGCCCCCAGAGGAAAACTCCGTGTTGCCTAGACCACGGCCTTGCTCAACACAAGTTATAAATTCGGGCACCGCCGGGAATCGAACCCGAGACTCCTTGTCCTAAAAAACAATGAACTGGCAGTGGAGTTTGTTTTGCTGTTATATCACTTATCACCACTCTGCATACACAATGGTGGAAGCAGCAAGGGCCTCTGAAATGCTGGTAAATTTCTACCAGGCTACATGGTGATATATCCCAGAACAGCGCCATCTTCACAATGAGAACCTAAAAACCTGCTCTTATTCTTGTTACAAGCCTAATCAAGCAGATGTAGTGGCTTTAGTGTGTACACGTGCGTAATGCTTCAAAATGTTAAATACTGAGATTGAAGTTGCATCACCGGTACTAACAGGAGGGAGGGGATATACTGATGTATTGAAAGGCTTATTATAATTCACAACAGACCTGAGGAGTAGCCACTAGGTGGCACTCATTACAGTCCTCAGTCCTACCTTTTCCATTGGTGGTTGCGGCTGCTGGTGCAATCAGAGGGTTATAATCTTGTATCCTCATTCTTCTCCCAACAATGCAGTCATTGACTTCCCATTGATTTACATTATAAAAGAGTTTCAATTTACGCTGATTCCGTTTATGCCGGTTCGTCCAGGAACAAATCCCCGGTGTAAATCGAGGGCTACTTGTATATGTATGCCTTAATTATTTCATTAACTATATTCGAAATCACTCAATTTTACAGATATTTCCTCCGATTGTTTTAAAGGTGATTAAAATCTGTAGCACAACATCCACTGGAGGGGAAGTAGAGCTGGCAGTCCCATGCCATAGATTTACAACATGCAAAAGATCATTACAAGCATAAATGAGATATTTCGTAAGCAAAAGTCAGCGATCATTTTTTACCCATGTCTCTCCTGATTCTCCATTAGATGGCTCTAGCAGACAAATCAAGATTGAGCATAAATTGTGCACAGGCAGAGGGCTTGTCACCACTCAAAATGCACTTCAAGACTAAATAACCTCTTAAAAAATGAGGCAGCCAAGAACCACAGAGGGTTGTAGAACCACAGGAAGAAAGAAGAAGAAAGCATTCAATAATTGAATTCCACACTGAGCCAGGTGCTGGTGTGTTGTGGCGGCTGTGAGAACTGTCCATAATGTTGCATGCGTGATGTCAAAACCTGTTTCCTTGCAAAAGTGGTGAAGCAACCGCGCCCTCAGTAGTGCAGCTAGAAGCTCTAGTCGGGGCAGTTACCCTTTTCACTGGCGCAACTCTGTTCTTGCTGCAGACTAAATGAATCACGGTGTTGTTGCTTGTCGTAGATCGTACGTACAGGGCCGTTCCATAGGCTCGTTCGGGTGCGTCTGAAAACGCATGTATCAGGAAGTTTTTGTGTGTGTGTGTGTGTGTGTGTCGCTCTCTCTCTCTCTCGCAAGCCATCGAAGTATACGGATTTCTGAGAGATGTGGCAAGGACAACACCCATGTGCGCCAGCGTACACCAAGATCGTGTGGCAACAGCTCATCCCACTTTAATCCCCAACACCAAGTGTCTTGAAACAGTACCTTGGCACTGATGGAGATAGGTGACAGCAGGCCGAGTAGGTCATAAAATCTGGCAGTAGCTTGAAGGAGTTGCCGTTTGCATACAGGTTCTTTTGACAGTTTATCCATGATGTCCTGATGACAGTAAAAGAACGTGTCGGTTTCTGTGTCCCAGTCTACTCCCAGTACTTGCGGGTTGTTGTTTGTTTTTTGTATTCTGTGCCTTTGGCATTCAAAATTTATTTTAGTGGATCAGAATTGGTGGCCCATTTTGCCGTAGGCAGTCGAATTAGTTCCATCAGAGCGGTGAGGTCATAGTAGATGGCAATTACGCTGTTGTCACTTTCTGCGCTGGCTACAAAGTCGTCCATGAATGTCGAATTATCTACAAGTCTTGCTGCAGTGGGGAACTTGGACATGTACATGGCAGCAAGTTCCCGTATTGTAGCCGAGAGTAGAAATGGGCTACAAGTCAGACCAAATGGAAGAGGGGTGAAGCGGTAAGTCATTACGTCGCTCGTGCTGTATCTTCCCTCATCATCTTGGATCACACGGTACAAGAAGAACCTAGTCAAGTTCCTATCCTTCTGGTCTAATACCAGGTGCAGGAAAGCCTGGTTGATGTCACCCAAGATAGCTATTGTGTAGAGTCTGAACCTCAGTAGTATCGCAAGCGTTTCAGGAAGCAGATTTGGGCCCATTTCTAGTGATTCATTGAGTGACGGTGTGTTGCTTCCGTGGGAGGAAACGTCAAAAACAATCCTCCATTTGGTGTTTCCGCGCTTTTCTTTTTTTACTGCATGGTGCGGCAGGTAGAACAAGTCCCCTGCCTCGTCTGCAGGAGGAGCGACTTCCACTTGCCCCTTCGCAATAATTTCGTACACACTTAGTATTTACCATGAAGAAAAGGTCCCGAGTTTCGGCACCAAACTATGTGGAGTATAGGTACAAAGATACGCGGCCTTGTTGCTCCATCTCCTTCTTTATTCAGACTGGTTAAAGAGGTGAAAGGCATTACCCTTCCAAAGAGGGTGATCAGCGACCAAAGATATTACATTTTACAAAGGTAATAGTACAAAGATGATAAAGTTTAAAGAAAGATAATAAATGTTCATACAATTAAATATTATAAACAGAAACAACGTTTAATCCTCCACAAAATGGATAAGTGTTGCAGCAGTCTGCTTTGTTCCAGGTACAATAAGAAATAATGCGTGTAATCACAACCATTCCTAACACATTAGGCTAAAATGAACAGAGTTTGTGTTTAACCTTCAAGCCTTATTAGAGGAAGTTGATGTTATAAATAAAGTATTTGTTTGCTAATACCTACTGAGCTGCCATTATCCTCGTCCGCATATGGTGATGAAGTGTTCTCCAACACAAACTGTGTTCTGAGAGGAAATTGCAGTGATCACTAGGACACATGCTACATGTCAACAAGTTAAACGTGAGCTTGGAGTTCTTAAGAATTAGTTGTGATCAAGCACACTGCTTCATAACATCTGAACCCACACATTCATGAAGACACCTTTAGAATTTTAATAAAGTATAATTATGTACTCAGGCCTCACCTGTATTTACATGAAACTGGATCAAATCTGAGGAACCAAATTGATAGTATACAATATCCAACGGATCTGCATCAGTCCAGTCAAAGATATCTTCCTCTTGTGACTTGCATACTGAAGTGAACTTCAAATTCCCTGATGATACGTGTATGCTGAAGTCACATAAGTTGTCTTCAAACATAATGCCATTTTTCTGAAATATAAATTACAGTGATTATAAATGCATCTATCTCAGCACAAACTAAACAGTTTTATCATTATAACAATTATTTAATTTTACAAGTTTATAAAATACGTCCATAATTTGTATACTTCCTTACATCTTTAAATAAATGTTTATGTCAATTTTTAGGTGCACTACATTCCCTGCCAATCTCCCTTGATTTGATTACCCTAATAACATTCAAATTTAAGAACAAACTATGGAACTCAATCACTGCCCAATTTTCTCCAGCCTCCCATCAATTCATTTTCTTAGGAATAAATATTTTCCTATCCAACATCCTTCTCTCAAGGTTAAGTCCATATGTAGACTTAATTATTGGGGATCATCAATGTGGGTTTTTACATAATACATCAACTAGTAATCAATTTTTTATATTCGTCAGATACTACAGAAAAATGGGAGTACAATGAGACAGTACATCAGTTATTCATAGACTTCAAGAAAGCATATAATTTAGTTAGAAGGGAAGCACTGTACAAAATTCTCATTGAGTTTGCTATACCCATGAAACAAGCAATGCTTATCAAAATGTGTTTAAAAGAAATCTATAGGAATGCCCAGTGAGGTAAACATTTGTCTGACGCGTCTCCTATTCAAAATAGCCTAAAACAAGGAGATGCTTTACGGCCATTGCTTCAGAACATGCCATTAGGAAGGTCCAAGAAAACCAAGTGAGACTAAAATTGAATGGGACATATCACCAAAATTTGACTCATCACCAAATATAATCAGATGAAGTCAAGGATGATAACATGGGTAGGGGATTTATCCCACATGGGAGAAAAGAGGAATGCATACAGGTTTTGGCAGGAAAACCAAAAGGAGAGAGACCACTAGGAAGACCAAGTGGGAGGATATGGATCTTGGGCAAATAGGATGGGATGGTATGGACCAGATTCATCTAGCTCAGGATAGGGACCGATGGCAGGCTCTTGTGAACACAGTACTGCAACTTGGAAACTCTAAGTGGCTGAGCGACTGTTGGCTTCTCACAAAGGACTTGGCTCTATGGAGCAATTATTCTCCCACGCATAGTTTTCAAACACTCTCAATTTACATTTTTCTTTTAATGTAAGAGACCAGGTTTCACACCCATATAAAATAACAGGTAAAATATTGTTTTGTACACATTAATCTTGTTTTTAAACAGTAGATGGGAATACAAAAGATTCTGACCTGTTTGGTGGCAATCATTCCCTAAATTTAGTCTTCTCTTAATGAGGCATTAGAGTAGCATGACAAGAAATACAAGCAATCTCTTACGACCTGGAAGCTACACATCACGAGTTTGAGATGCTGCTGGTGGCAGTGGAAGCCCAAATGAGACATGGATATGGCAGTAATGTAGGGACCAATGCAAACAAAGTGAAATCACCAGAGGCAGCAGTGTTACAAGCACATCACCCTATTCTTTGAAGGCCTCCCCCCACCTTAACTCCGGTATCCAGCTGGAAGCATCCGCTGGCAATGTGCACTCCCAACACATCTGCCCCTAGCAAAACTACAGCAATTCTGGCCAGTGGCTGAAAATATAACTAGACAATCCTGGTGGAAATGGATGGCGCTAAAGCTCCGTGCCTATACCCGGCCGCCGGAAGGCAAAGGCGTGTAAGCTGAAGCCCCGGCGAGTAGGAGGGCGCGGCGGTGTGCGCGGAAGGGTCAGGGCGCGAGCCCGCCTGGAGCCGCCGCCGGTGCAGATCTTGGTGGTAGTAGCAAATACCACTCACTAACTTCCAGAAGTATTCTCAGTTCTTTAGAAACAAGTTACAGTCTCCAGCCAGCCCAATTGTGAACCAGTAAGTGAAAGTGAGCAGTGATGTGATCTTTCTTGCAGTGTACTATGTGCATATTCAAGCAGTCAGAACAGAAGTTACAACTAGCTTAAAGTCAAGACTTTCTGTAATAACAACTGTGACCTGTAAGCTGGCAGAACATTAAAGAAGTAATTGTAATATTGCACACAAGAAGCCCATCTAATTACAAAGAACTCGCAGTGTAATCACCGACATATGTTCCAGTTTTTATATGAATTCCTGCCACTAACAAACTCTACCCTCATAACTCAAAGGACACCTTTATGCACAAGAAAGCTGTACCTAAGTGATGACCAGCATTCCCATTACCATAGGAGAATGTACGAGGTGCTACCCAAAAGTTCGGGGAATTTGAATTACACGCGCGAACCGGTTGTGGAATGGCCTACCGCCGCTAGATGGGGCGAGCAATACCCTTTGTGAATTAGTGTGCCAACGGCGGTGAAGGGGAGAGGTCGCGTTTTTGAGTCTCGTGCGTTCTTGTAATGTCGTGTTGTAGTGGTTCGGCGATTTTTTAAATGGCAGATTTTAAGGAGCAAAGAATCTGCATCAAATTTTGCTTTAAGCTTTAAAAAAACTGCTGTAGAAATCCACTGCAAGCTTGTGGAAGCATTTGGTGAGAATGCTATGAGTCAAAGTAAAACTTTTTTTGTGGATGAACGTCACGTCAAGTTCGCAGCAATGTGAAGTCCATGTTGATCCCTTTTTTTGACATCCAAGGCATTGTCCACAAGGAATTGTTGCCCATGGTCAAACTGTCAACTGGAAGTTTTATTGTGAAGTTTTGAAGCCGCTACGGTAGAGCATTGGTGCAAATGTCTGGCAAAGTGGGAGAACAACAGCTGGGTTTCCACCACGACAACGCGCCCGCCCACACATCGCTCGTTGTTCGGCAGTTTTTGGCTTCCAAAATCACGTCAGTTATTTCCCACCCACCCTATTCGCCTGACCCCTTTTTTTGACATCCAAGGCATTGTCCACAAGGAATTGTTGCCCATGGTCAAACTGTCAACTGGAAGTTTTATTGTGAAGTTTTGAAGCCGCTACGGTAGAGCATTGGTGCAAATGTCTGGCAAAGTGGGAGAACAACAGCTGGGTTTCCACCACGACAACGCGCCCGCCCACACATCGCTCGTTGTTCGGCAGTTTTTGGCTTCCAAAATCACGTCAGTTATTTCCCACCCACCCTATTCGCCTGACCTCGCCCCCTGCGATTTTTTCTTGTTCCCCAAAATGAAATTTTGATTGAAAGGCCGTCGTTTTGACACAATCGAGGAGATCGCATTAGGTGTTTAAAACGCTCACACTTGAGGACTTCCAGGTATGCATGGAATCATGGACAAAACGCTGGGATCGCTGTATTCATGCACAAGGTGACTATTTCAAAGGAGACGGTGTAAACTTGGAGTTATGATAAGCATTTTTTTATGCGCAAATTCCCTGAACGTTTGGGAAGTACCTTGTAAAATCATCTTCTGGTTCAATGCCATCCTTGTCTAATTTGATCTACAGATACTCCTGACATTCCAAATTTCATATCCATCTTCCTTTGGTTAGATCATTTCAAAGAATCTGTCAAAGTCCAAGCTCTGTGTAACATTATATCATAACTTGTCTTTTTTATGGTGCAGAATAGTTAGCCCCTGCCCAACACCCAAAATGGAGCACCACACCTCTTGCACACTGTCCACAGATGCATATAAAACATATTCAGAATTATAAAGTGAAGCTTTTGCAGCGACTGAAGTTTATCAAAGACTCTCGGGTTACAAGCCGCGTCAGGTGACTGAATGGTGAATAAACCATATCTTCTGCCAACATTTCGAGAGCAATCACTGCTCTCATCCTGAAATGGTTTGTAACCACACAGTTTTTCATCAATATTCAGAATTGCCATCCATATCTGGAGGTCTTCACCATCCACAGCCTGAGGATGCAACATACTCTGGTGATGGAGACCCACTTGGGAAACTTGATATATGAATACACATAAGAACCATAAGTTAACATTATAACTGAAAAATACTTACATTCACTTGTACATTACACAAACGCCGAGCACTTCCACCTGGTAGTGAAATATATTCTTGTCTGTGGATTAATGTGCATTTATAAAGGTACACATCCCAACGATGTCTATGCCCATATCCATATCCATATCTGTAGTTATACAGCTCCATATTAATTTTAATATAATACATATCACCTGATGAAATATCATTATTCACCATTAAGAAAATGTTCAACTCATTTCTTGATCCTTGACTTTGAGCTTGATATGTAAAATTTAAATCATTACCATGAAAAAAATGGAGTATACTGATGTTATTCTTGGTATACTCTGCAAAGCTTTTTTCTGTAAAAACAATATATTGCACTCAGAATCATATGACAATGCATGATATGGTGACAGAATGAATTTATTATGTTATCTTCAAAGTTCATTTTGACCTACTGATAGACAGTTCAACACTTGGAAAAATTATGACCTGACTTCCCACCTCACAAACTGTCTTCTTTTAGTGTGGACCCCCCCCCCCCCCTAAATGCAAAAAGAAAAAAAGTAAAAATGGTCACAAGTACATAATGGAGTCAAAGAAGACTGAAATACAAGCTGCAGTCTTTAGGAAATTAAATTAATTCTGATGAAACTGAATTCTCACATCAAAATTGTCAAGCACTGAACAAATTCCAAAAGAACTGATTAGGCAAGAGGAAGTACATTACATTTTATGATCCACAAACTTCCCAATTCTAGTTGGAATACACCAAATGCCTTCCTCCTTATGAAAGGGAGGACAACACAGTATCCAGTCTAGGTAAGATATGAAGCTTTCATAAGAAGTGAACACAATCCAATATTTCTGAAACATTTCCTGCCCCATTAGCGTTCAGACTGCCTCTGTCCACATACCAACACTGATAGCATTACGTCAATGTCCATTCTGACATAGTATTGTTTCTTTCAAGAAGAGAATGCCTTCTGCTGCAATTAAAAAATATATAACCAAGACAGAAGCAAAGACTCTGATGGGTAACATTACTTCATATGCTTATCAGTTCTGGATGATACATGTTTTGAATAAATACTTTAAGTAGGTTATGTGACATTAGGTTGATTTATAATTTGTCTAAATATTAAATACAATAATAAAGTAAACACAGGGTACTGTTCAGCCAAATCATTCTTTTAAATCAGCATTAGTGTCAATTATGTTCCAGAAAATGCCAAGTAGCTGTTCTCATAAAAACCAAAGAGATTTGTAACTACTCTAAATGTGGTTGATCATGTAGACAAAACCTACTATGTTGCACTTTCTATGCCACTATAGCAGTAACTCAACTGCAGGGAAGTCATATATCTGTCAAGTAATTCTGCAGAAATGTCTTGTAGCTTTGGAAAGTTTTTATATCTGACCATGAATCTAGGAATTTCTGTAAACCTGTTATTCTGGGTACTTAGGAGCACACCCAAATAACACCATGCATCCTACAAACAATAAATAATCAATTTTACCGCCACAAACTGCATCACAAAAAAGTTATACTCTCCCAGCAGTCTGCTTCATGGAGTTTTTGCTACTTCCAAATAATGTGACTTTGTGGCAAAGTGCATGAATTACTTTTACTGACATAACTTAATATTCCATCAAAAAGAACATACAAAGTTTGACAGTGTTTCTCACTAATAAAGAACATGTCCACCATTCAATGTATTGCTGCATTTGAATAAATTGTTAACACCAGCAAGCATCCTACCAAGTTTTCCTAAAAAATGCTTATAAAATTTCTTACTAACAAACATTTGAAAATAAACACTCTCAATGTTACACTGTATTTTATCTTCATTAAAAAAACGTTTTGTTATGAAGTGACAGTGCCTGCATCGGAGTGAAAAGAAAAATTGATTCCTTATCCTTTACTACAGAAAATACTTCCAGAGCTTTTCAGCTTAGATTGTGGTACCTCCCTATGACATAGTAACCAAGTAGCCACTGCAGTTTAGCAGGCAGTAGTAGTACCAGCATGGGTAAATTATGTTGTTTACACATTTTAAGAAGTCTGTACTATACTGTGCAGCTAATTAAAAGTGCTTAAAATTAATTCATATAGTCTATCATTTTATTCAATGCAAAATAAACCTCACCACTACTCCTAGGATTTCCAACAAATGCAAAACTATACAGAAGATAGCAGATTATATTCCATAAATACAGCCTGATTCATGCCAAAGCTTACTGGAAAACAAATGGAACATGACTATGCTAGTACTATGTCTACATCAGTTTATAGCCAACTGAGCTGTCATTTTGAGGCCACACTGCAATAGTAGGAGTGTACCCATATTATATTTTACAAATTATTACAAACACGTACCTTGAAGAATGAGAGGTAAATTGTGTCCTGCACCTTTTGTCCAGTTACTCATAGTCCATGTACAACCTCCATACAAAGACGTACACTCAACAACATCATTTCCAATAAAATAATCTGTAATTATTTTTCAAGGCAGATTAATACTTTGTATGATATACAAACATTATAGTTAAGTGACAGATTTAATGACTATGTTAGTGTCAATGCTACTTACTTATTGATGTATTATTACTCAAGAGAACAGGCAACCCCCTAGCATTTGTCATAGCATGTACTTCAACACGTCCACTCCGGTTCACTGACATGAAATCAGGAAAATCTAAAAATACCAATAAAATTTCAGTATGACAAAAATTCAGTTAATTTACCAAAGTGTTTGCCAACAGCAAGGAGTCAATGACAGGCAAACACTGAAATTACATACTTGTACAACAAACAGACTTAACTAAATACATAAATGTATATATAAAATAGATCAATCAAACATTTCCCATATTGAGTATAATAGCCAACTACAAACACAGAAATGAAAACCAATATATGATATAAAAAGAAAACAGTATAAGTAAAAGGGCTAAATAATATGCATAAGCGAAGTACAATCTTTGTTAAAGATGTCAATCCTCTTACAGAGCACTGGTAGCAGATAATAATAAATAATACCACCTTATTCCAAAAAATGAAAGCAGTGAATTACCAAAAAAAAAATTATAGGCCTGTGACTTGCATCCCTACAGTACATAAGGAACAAGAAGGGTGCTGCCAAGGATCAAGAGGATGAAAAGATCGGCTGCTGGTGTCAAAAACAATATTAGAAGAATTTAAAAACATGAATAACAACTTGTGCATGGCCTGGATTCACAACAAAAGGCATTTGACAGTGTTTCTCACAGTTGGATACTTATCTTTAGAGTTAATGAAAAGATAATATCTTTCACTAAGAAAGCTATGAATAGTTGGAAAATTAGTATGAATCTAAATATGAGAGATAAAGTAGCTGAAACAACAGATATTAGAGTAATTGTGGAATATTTCAAGATGATTCACTCTCACCATTCTTATTTAGTATCATTTTAATCCCTCTTACAGAAGAGGTCAACCAAATGAATATAGGATATGAAGAACATGAAACTAAAACAAAAGTCTCACACCTGATATACATGGATGACTTAAAACTGGTATGAAAATCAGATAAAGAACTTCAGAAACAACTACACACAGTTAAGAAATTCAGTAATGATACTGTAATGAAATCTGGACCGGATAAATGTGCAAAGGTTGTGTATAAAAAGGAAAATTAGCTTTACTACAAAATCTGTCAATTGATACGGGCACAGAAATACAACAGCTTGAACAAGGAAATCATACATATACTTAGGAATTGAGGAAGGAGATGGCATACATCATCAACAAATGAAAGATGAACTGAAGAAAGAATATAATGGAAGATTAAGGATGATACTGAAATCTGAACTGAATGCCAGAAACAAAATCACCGCCATAAACGCATTAGCAGTGCCAGTCTGAGGTACAGTTTTGAAATAATTAACTGGAGACTAGAAGAACTGAAGAAAATTGTCAGAAAAACTAGGAAACTGTTGACAATATATGGGATATATCATCCAAAAGCAGATGCAGACAGAATTAATGTAAAGAGAAAAGAACTGGGAAGAGGACTGGTACAAGTTGAAGCAACATACAAAAGTGAAATAGTCAATATTGCAGTGTTTTTGCACAAAAAGCATCAAGAGGATCCATATATTAATGTCATAAAATCATATGACAAGTCCCAAGCAATAATGAATTCAATAACTAAGACAGCATAAAAAATCTAAGAACTAAATTCTGAAGAAGAAATATAATACAGAGAACCAAATAAGAGAAGGAGAAAACAGCAGCAATATGGGCACTAAGAACAAAATCTTTAAAAATTATGCAGAGCAGTATATATATCTACAGGTAAAGTAAAGAACTTGAAATAGTGTTGTATAAAATGAGGCTCTTACAAGTGTCTGAATGACAATGACTGCCAAAAATTAAAAGAAACAATATACTATTATGATTTAATAAAGGGATAAATGAAATAAGTAAAGAACTTTTGAAAGAGAATGAAGCTGATATAATATTTATTTATTTATTTTATTTACCTTATGGCTATATTACAACACATGAAATATAAGAATATGATATACATTACAAATATGCTAGAATACAGTACTATAAACTGATATAATATATATAAAGCAATTAACATATGCTGTACAAACATTTAATACAGAAAGGATTATTAAATGAGGATGAGTGGAGGTGGAAGAGGAGGTAGAGGAGGTGGTGGAGCAGGGGGTGGGGAGGAGGCTCTTGAAAAAATAGAATACAAAGACAATAAAGCAACTGGAGAAGAAAACTGTCCATATTTACTGACAATATCAAACTATAAGAGAGAAGAAAATTTTTCATAAATCTGAAGTAACAAACGCCATTAAAATAGTGCAACTAATAGAATAATTAAAGTTGAAGGTGCATGTAAAGGCCCAAGAAATCAGAAGTTATGAAAAAAAGAAAAAACCATTACATCCAAAATAATGTGTTCAAGGATGACAAAATAATTCTACTGATATCTGGAAGCAAAAACTGTAATAATCAAAGACCACCCATACACAGAAAAAGTTCAAGATGAAGAGAACAGGCTGCCTATATGAACTACAGAACTTCAGCTAAACACATACCAGGAATTATGTAATCAAGACCTATCTCAATAAACAGGAATATTTCAGTCACTCACTGTCATTGTAAACTACAAATACACATATTCCCTTTCTGCATTATTATTATTAAGTGTTCTGTCTTATGACAGGTCCATTGCTCTGCCCAAAAAGAGCTCTCCAGTTGTCCCTATTCTCGGCTTCTCGCTTTAATTCCTGGAACGTCATCTTCTTTCCTTGTTTAAGGTCGTCGGTTAGCTGTATCAATCTTCTTCCTAGTCCTCTCTTTCCTTCAACCTGGCCTTCGGTGATATCACTCATTAATCCATTCCTCCTCATAATATGTCCCAGCCAGTTAGCTTTCCTTCGTGTAATCGCCTGCAGAATGCTTCTTTGCTCGTTGACTCTCCTCAATACTTCTTCGTTGGTCACTCGATCCGTCCACCTGATCTTCTCCAACACCACATTTCAAAACTCTCCAAGTATTTCTGTTCCTTCTTCCCGAGTGTCCATACGTAACACTTCACTAGTTTCTTCTTCATCTCCAAGCCCAACTTGCTAGCGAGAAGTATCCTCTTCTAGTGCTCATAAATTAAAGAGATCTAAATGTGGGTACCAATAATGTGAAACTCAAGGAAGGTGAACTGTTTACTTTGAACAGATGATTTGAGGCTGACAGGGAAAAGTGAGGATTAGGCCACTGGGCCTGTTCCATCTCATTGGGTCAATCATAGCTTGTCCTTCCAATGTTTCCTCGGTTGTCCGATGTTCCTTCTTCCTCATGGTTCATAGAGCAGTAATATGTGTGGGATCTGTATGGAAACATTCTGGTCACGTGATCATACCAATTTTTCCTATATGCACTGATAATACTAAACTTTTTCAGACGTCTTCATTCAATTTGTGGTCAAGGAGTGTGTGTCCTAATAGTGGTCTCAGTAGCCACATTTCTGCCACCTCTAATCTCCTTCAGCTGAGATGCCGCAAGAATCCATGTCTCAGATCCGTATAATAGGGCTGGGATGATCAGTGTTTTATATAATTTTAAAACACTTTCTGCCCTTACTTTCTTCAGTAAGATTGATAAATGAAGAAATAAAATAAAAATTGTAATAACATTTAGTTATGGCATAAAAATAAAGTTTGGGTAGAAAAAAGTGCCAGAATTTGTTTAAAAATGGCAAAATTATAAGATAACAGCACACAGGAAACAAGCAAAAATGAAATTACAGAATATAAACCATTTAGACCATATAAGTATTTGGGTGTATAACATATAATATAAAAATAATAAGTTGAAGGAAAATGTAAAGAGACTAGGATTGATTTTAAACACTAATAAGCACAAAAATAAAATGCAAGCAATAGGATCACTGGCAGTATCAATACAACAAGTGAACTTCAAAATTATTAACTGGCATTAAGAACAAAAACTAGATAGAAAAACAAACCATCCATGGACAGCATCTCACAAGAGCAAACATTCAACACTTACATGCTTCCAGAAAAGAGGGAAGAGAACAGATGCAGGTAGGAGCCTACATAGCAGAAACCATGAAATTGGTGAAATATGTAGAAACTAAAAAAGAAGATCTACTGATACAGCTTGTTAGAACACACAACCACAACAATCCTACAAACAACTAAAAAATTTAAGAAAACTTTTAATAGTGAAATAAAGAAAATAAATAAACAAGACAGCTTAGAATATAAAAGGAAAATTGGAAGAAAAAGGATGAATGGACAATTTCCATACAGCTTACATGAAAAACTGGTGGATAAGTAATGGTCTTATACATGGCTGAAGTTTGGAGACATAAAGGAAGAAACAGAAACAATTATATCAGCTCAGGATCAGGCAATCAGTAAAATTATTTTAAGAGAAATTTTTTGAAAGAAGAAACAAACTATATGTCAACTACATAATGAATACAAAGAAACTACTGACCACCTTACATCAGGATGCCCCATTCTGTAGAGAATGCACACACAATAAATAAAACAGGATAACAGTCTGTACACATCTACATTACTGAGTATGTAAGATAACAGGCACTGAAACAACAGGAAACTGGTACTTACATACACCTGAGTGAGTGCATGAGGAAGAATATATAATGATAGGCACAACTGAATGAAAAATATTAAATAATTTGATTCTTCAGGCATACTGAATAATTTGATTATATAAGAAAAATTCATTCATTCATTTCGCAATCCAAGTGATGCTAGTCAAGAAACCAGCTGATTTAATTTGCTTTATTCATTCAGAAGAATAAATAACATTCTTCCATGTAAGATTTGAGGTTTTCACAGCAGTGAGTATGAAGATTTCTGTCTTCTGGGTTGTTGCACTGTGCAGTGTGGTCGATGTTTACCAACGTTTCAGAGGTCATACTGCCATCGCCCTGATGACGGAGCCAGTAGGACCTCTGAAACGTTGGTAAATATCTACCAGACTACAAAGTGCAACAACCCAGAAGACAGAAATCCTCGCATCCTTCCACTTTTTAAACAATTGTTTATTCTGCATTTTTCATACACTGCACATCAGAGGAAATACTTATGATTGTGCATTTGTCTCATTATTCTGTAGTTTAATATAACTGATATTACCTCTCATAACATTTACGAGTATACAACTACCGTATTTATATGTTTCTGTCATCCGTAGATAAACACAGCAGATGAATTGCAACTTATAAAATGACAATTCATATGTATCAAAATGCAGTCCAGTCTATTTTTTTAGTATCTGAGAAAGCTGTACACCATTTTAAGTCCAATAGCATTTTGTTTAATGAACTGTTGGTTACAGAAAATACACAAGACTTAGACCTACTAACAAATCTATATAAAAATCAATAAATATTATGAACATTGAAAAGAAAGTGTTACGTTATTTTCTGTTATCACGCTAAGGCTACTGGTTACATTAATCACAGCATATTATTGACTAAATTGGCTTATTATGAAGAAGTTGGGAATATTAGAAAATGATACATCTCTCTTAATCAAAATACAAAAGTTACAAAATATAACCTCCAAACACCACTGATAACATTTTTTAACTCGTATAAAGTTCATCATTAAGTTCCTCAAGGCTCCTCCCCTCCCTTTCGTATGTTACTGATAATATGATACAGAAACACGATTTTCACAGACCAGTGGACTGAAACAGCTATAAATGACTGTTTGAAAACATCCATACATCACTTGTTACAGATGCACAACTTTTAGTTTAGTTGATTTTTATAATTGAGGGATTACATTTTCTCACAAACAGTTATCCAGCATGGGAGAGTTGTTGTATCCCGGGCTGGGATTACGGGTTGGCAAGGCGAGCGGATCCTTTGGAACTGCAGGTGGCGCTTCTTGGTGAAATAAAGTCAGAATATAACAGCTAAGACATATTTATTGTAATACAATAGGCTGAAACAGCCAAACACTGGTTGACTACAGAGTATCACGTTTGCCTAGGCTTGGGCAGTCCAACCTTTCGTTGTAGGCTGCCTTCTGGCATGAAGACAGCCGGTCTCAGTATCGATATCAATAAAGAAGACCAAAGATGTTATCGGGTCT